AGCACATTCATCTGGAAGATGACAATTTTATACTCATTTCCGTAATACCGAACACGATAGGGCCAGTAATCTATCAGTCATTCCGTATAACCCGTCCCTCGATGAAAATATGTTCAAAGACACTGTAATTGACATTGTTTATACGTATCCGAACGCGTTGCGTAATAGTGTAGTGTTCTTGAGACTTGCCCCAAGTTTTACATAGCGAGACCGGAAGAGCTTTCGAAAAAAATAAGAAATGAACTTAAACGTGATGTTAGATATGTCAGAGAATCAAATGAGTATTTCGTTGATTTACGTCACCAGCTTAACTGGAAAAGCGCTATATATATTCATAAATCAGTAATTTCGTATGAAAAAATGCTAGCTCTCTTAATTAGAAAAATGCGTAATTTTAACTTGAGTACTGGGCTTGGATGATCTTACCTCGTCGTTAGAAGAGCCCTCCCCAGACTCTTTGACCTTGACCCTGCTCCTGAGACCTGATTCATCTCTTGTTTTTCTACCACTATATTGTCAAAATTCTCTCTAAATTATATGTGTATGTATATGTATATATGTATGTATATTTAGATATATGTACGTGTATATGTATATATGTACAGGTATGTATATGTATTACATTTGTATATATATATGTACATATGTATATATATATGTATGTACACATATATTACATATATATGTACATATATATTACATATACATGTACATAAATATTACATATACATGTACATATATATTACATATATATGTACATATTTATTACATATATATGTACATATATATTACATATATATTCATAAATATATCACATATATATAACATACATATACAAAAATATATTACATATATATACATAAATGTATTACATACATATACATAAATATATCACATATATATAACATACATATACAAAAATATATTACATATATATACATAAATGTATTACATACATATACATAAATATATTACATATATACATAAATATATCACATATATATTACATACATATACATACATATGTCTGTATATATACACATATTTATATATTATGTATATATGCATATAAGCAAGCCTGCATATTTTCATTCGTATCGACACATCATAATCTTTACGGTTACACAAAATCTGTTCACAAACAATGAATTTTGTTAATATTTTCAGGTTGAAAGGGAATGCAACTAGATACTTGGGGTTTCGTTTAATAAATAGCTTGCATATGTTGATTTATACACACTTAGGCGTAAGTAGGGGCGGGTTCGTAGACAGGGGCAGGCGTGTAAGTGGGAGCGGGTTCATAGGCAGGGGCAGGTTTGTAAACAGGGGCAGGCTTGTAAGCAGGGGCAGGCTTGTAAGCAGGAGCAGGCTTGTAGGCAGGAGTAGGATGGTACTCGGGGTACTGGGCTTCACCCTCGTAGCTGACCTCAGCTACGTAACCAGAGTCGCCGTTGACAGTGTAGGTGACCCTTTGCAGACGACCGTCGGGAAGGAGGACGAAATAGGAACCCTGAGTGTTGTATCCGTCGCGTGCTTCCTGGTGACCGAAGTCGTTTCCGGAGTAGTCGTCCTTGACAGCGTAGTTGAAGTCGTACTTAGCAGGAGACTGAAAAAAAATCCTTATTAGTATGAAACTATGAGACATAATACACTGATAAGGAGGTTTAAGTATAAGACCCTCAGAATACGGGACACTGCTTACGTCATAAGTTGCCGGAGGAGAGTAATCGTAAGAAGGCTGTGAAGGAGCAGCCAAAGCGACGGCCACAAGGACGAGAGCGACGGCGGTCTGGAATACGACACAAAATGTCAGATATAGTAAGGATGATAAGATAAATAGAGAGTAAGAAATGAAAAGAACGATTAAAGGAGGAACGGATATATAAACTGAGAAATTAATATGGCTGATTAATAAGAAAATAAGAAATCAATGTATATATTTGTATATATGGTATATACACATAACTGTATATATTGTGCATCTTTAGGCTGGATTCGCACCTTAGTGAACATGATGAAGATAGATGATCGACTGAGATGCATCAGTCGTCGAACCGTTGCCTTTTATACTACGTGACTCTCGTCAACTCTCCTCAGCCACTCCCTTTTCCACTGTCCAAGCGACCCTCACCTTGACGACGGCGAAAGTAGTATCGTCCAATTAACTCTGAGAGAAGTGTAAGGAAACATAAGCAAAATGGATTCGTACCTCACACACTTGTTTATACATTCATTATATATAAATATAAATGTAAACATGAATACAAATGTAAGTGTACGTCTAAATCATAAAGGAAACATTTAGACCGTGGGGTATGTGAACCTAGCTTAAGAATTTCATTGCGGAAGAAACTTCATTCATTATCTTATAAAGTAGAAAAATGATTACTTTCATAAGTAATCTCAGCGATTTCAAGAAAAAATAATCTAGAACTAGAAGTATTTACTAATATAGGCTGATTAATCTGTTCGTGTAAGCAATTCCGGACTATTTTGAATTTGAAGAGCGAAATCGGCAATTGAATTGATAATCTGAATGACTTAATAATAGTCAGAATAGGTAAAGAGGATCCATTATATATTTCTATTTGCTATCTTTAATCTTTAATCATTTGCTATCTTTAATCATTTGCTATCTTTATTCATTTTCCATCTTTAATCCTTTGCTATCCATTTGTATCTTTAATTCATAAATTAGACAATACTTCTCATGATTATTTTTTAGCAACCGTACACTAAAACATATAGACCCCCGACCCTCCCTCCCCCCTCCACCACACGCGCAAATACACATTATATGAATGATATATATATACATGTTCGATGAAAATGTAATCTTTTACTTTCGTGTAGTTATAATCTCTCAAATTTTGATACCGTAAAATACTGGTATGTTGGTATCAACTACCAAATACCGGTATACTGTTCTCAAATATTCAGCTGCTTCTTAATTTCTGAAAGGGGAATTTCAGTTCTCTTCTTTCTTCTGCTTCTTTGTTTTCTTTTTTTTTCTTCCTCATAATAACAATGATAATGATAATAATAATAATATTATACATACATAGATATATATAGAGATATATGCATACACATATATATGTATATATATGCACATATATGCACACATATATATACAGATAAATATAATTATGCATATATATACACATCCATATACATATACATATATATATATATATATATATATATATATATATATATATATATATATATATATATATATATATATATATATATATATATATATATATATATATATATATATATATATATATATATATATATATATATATATATATATATATATATATATATATATATATATATATATATATATATATATATATATATATATATATATATATATATATATATATATATATATATATATATATATATATATATATATATATATATATATATATATATATATATATATATATATATATATATATATATATATATATATATATATATATATATATATATATATATATATATATATATATATATATATATATATATATATATATATATATATATATATATATATATATATATATATATATATATATATATATATATATATATATATATATATATATATATATATATATATATATATATATATATATATATATATATATATATATATATATATATATATATATATATATATGTAGACATACATCCATATATATACAAATAAATGTAAATGTATATAGACAAACCTATGTGTATATATGTACATAAATGAATACGTATATATAAATGTATACACACACGCGCGTTTTTTTTTCATTTTTATTACTATTTTTTATAAGGCATATTGGATTTGGGATAATGAATTTATTGATCAGGAGCTCGATGTCATTTTTTTATGTTTTCGAAATTAATATATCCTTTTTCTTTAATCAACCATATTCATCTGCAAGATGGACATTTTATACTCATTTCCGTAATACCGAACACGATAATGCCAGTAATCTATCAATCATTCCGTATAGCCCGCTCCTCGATGAAAAACGACATATGTTCAAAGACGCTGTAATTGACATTGTTTTTATGTATCCGAACGCGTTGCGTAATACTGCAGTTAAGCACAATGCGGGTAGCGGTGCTCTTGAGACTTGCCCCAAGTTTTACATAGCGAGACCGAAAATTTTCGAAAAAAAAAGAAGTGATGAACTTAAACGTGATGTTAGATATGTCAGAGTACAAAGTGAATGTTTCGTTGATTTATGTGATGAAGGTCACCAGCTTAACTAGAGAAGTGCTATATTTTTTCATAAATCAGTAAATTTGTATAAAAAAGGTAGCTCTGTTAATTAGAAAAATGCATAATTTTAACTTGAGTACTGGTTGATGGGGCTTGGATGATCTTACCTCCTCGTTAGTAGAGCCCTCCCCAGACTCTTCGACCTTGACCCTCCTCCTGAGACCTGATTCATCTCTTTCTACCACTATGTATTCTTGTCAAAATTCTTTCTTTAAATTGTATGTGTATATATGTGTTTGTATGTATATGTACATATATGTATGAATAAGTATATAAATGTGCGTGTATATGTATATATATACAAATATGTATATATATATGTATATATATGTATGTGTATATATATGTATGTGTATATATGTATATATATTTATGTTATATATGTATATATTTATGTTTGTATATATATACACATATATTACATATATACATAAATATATCATATATATTACATATACATAGATATATCATATATATTACATACATGTATATACATGTGTATATATACACATTTTTATATATGTATATATGCATATACACAAGCCTGCATTTTTTTATTCGTTTCGACACATCATAATCTCTACGATTACACAAAAATTTGTTCACACACAATTTTGTCAATATTTTCAGGTTGGAAGGTAATACAACTAGATGCTTGGGTTTTCGTTTAATAAATATCTTGCATGTGTTAGTTTATATACACTTAGGCGTAAGTAGGCGCGGGTTCATAGGCTGGGGCAGGCTTGTAAGCAGGAGCAGGCTTGTAGGCAGGAGTAGGATGGTACTCGGGGTACTGGGCTTCACCCTCGTAGCTGACCTCAGCTACGTAACCTGAGTCGCCGTTGACAGTGTAGGTGACCCTTTGCAGACGACCGTCGGGAAGGAGGACGAAGTAGGAACCCTGAGTGTTGTATCCGTCGCGTGCCTCCTGGTGACCGAAGTCGTTTCCGGAGTAGTCGTCCTTGACAGCGTAGTTGAAGTCGTACTTAGCAGGAGACTGAAAAAAATCCTTATTAGTCTGAAACTATGAGACATGATACACTGATAAGGAGGTTTAAGTATGAAACCTTCAGAATACGGAATATTGCTTACGTCATAAGTTGCCGGAGGAGAATAATCGTAAGAAGGCTGTGAAGGAGCAGCCAAAGCGACGGCCACAAGGACGAGAGCGACGACGGTCTGGAATACGTCACAAAATGTCAGATATAGTAAGGTTGATAAGAAGATATAAATACATAGAGAATAAGAAATGAAAAGAACGATTAAAAGAGGAACGGGTATATAAACTGAGAAATTAATATGGCTGATTAATAAGAAAATAAGAAATCGATGTATATATATGTATATATGGTATATACACATCACATAACTGTATATTGTGCATAAGTACTTCTTTAGACTAGATTCGCACCTTAGTGAACATGATGAAGATAGATGATCGACTGAGATGCATCAGACGTCGAGCCGTTGCCTTTTATACTATGTGACTCGTAAACTCTCCTCAGCCACTCCCTTTTCCACTGTCCAGCCGACCCTCACCTTGGCGACGGCGAAAGTAGTATGCTCTATTTACCTCTGAATGAAGTGTAAGGAAACAAACAAATAAGCAAAATACATTAGTACCTCACACACTTGTCTATATATTCATTATATATATGATATAAATGTAAACACGAATACAAATGTAAGTGTACATCTAAATCATAAAGGAGACATTTAGACCGCGGGGCACGTGAACCTAGCTGAAGAATTTCATTGCGGAAAGAACTTCGTTCATTATCTTATAAAGTAGAAAAATGATCTCTGATGGTGCTGCCTTTCAAGGGATTACTGCCTTGTAAAGGCAAAGAGTTAATCCCAAACTGAACGGGTGCAACTTTCATAAGGAATCTCAGCGATTTCAAGAAAAAATAATCTAGAACTAGAAGTATTTACTAATATAGGCTGATTTATCTGTTCGTGTAAGCAATTACGGAGAATCTTGTTCGTGGCCAAGACGAAGGACCATATGGAGGGTAGAAAAGTGGTTTCAAGGAATTGAAAAAGAAAAGCAAGAGAAAAGAGAAACAAAGAAAGTAAAAGAGTTAAATAAGCAGACAGACGAAAAGATAGATAAGCAGACAGACAAAAAGATAGATATATATAAAATGGAAAATACCTACTAAAAAATATAAGAAAATATTTTCACAGAGTAAATTTGTTACACTATTTTTAATATGAAGAGCGAAATCGGGAAATGAGTTGATAATCTGAATTATTTACTAATTATCGTTAACTACATGAAATATATCTTTCAATAAGATTCCTTAAAGTCAGAATATGTAAAGCGGATCCATCATATAATTTTATTTGCTATGTTTGTATCTTCAGTGCATAAATTAGATAATTCTTCTCATGATTATTTTTTGGCAAACGTACACTAAAACTTACATATATAGAGAGACACAAAATCACTCCGACTATTGCTGATATATATATATACATATACGATTAAAATGTCTTCGAATGCAGGTACTCTTATTACCTCCGCCAAGGAGGTTATGTTTTTGACGGCGTTGGTTTGTTGGTTTGTTTGTTTGTTAGCACAGTAGCTCAAAAAGTGCTGGCCGGATTTCATCGAAATTTTGGGGACAAGTCAGAAAGGGACTAACTTAGAACTTATTAAATTTTGGTGACATTCCGAATTACCGTCTGGACGCAGCAGCGGTGTAAGTACATTATATACGCACCTTGGCGGAGGTCTGCACTCTCTGAGTGCTTTTCTAGTTTTCGTATTGTTATAATCTCGCAAATTTGATACCGGAAAATACTGTTATAGTAGTATCAAATATCATAAAAAATCCGGTAATCTTCACTAATTTGTACAGCACATGTGGGTTATCCATACGTCAGAAACATCGTATCGTATGACTGCCATCACACTGGCGGCCACAAAGACATGCCCGACAGCGATCTGGGAGTAAACATGTTTCATTGAAGTTGAAACACGAAACCTAAACTCAGAGGAAGATGGCACGAAAATCGCATATCTGAAATATCTTTGACTTTTAGAACGGAAAATACCTTCAGAAACGAAAATGAAAGAAAGGCAGAATGATAAGGCGGCATTGCAAATACCTTAAATATATTTTAGTATCCATATATCTGTAGGATAATCATTCCTGCTTCCACGATTATACCAAAAAATACCTTGGTAAGCCTAAATAGCGGAGTTACACTTGACCAAAAGTCACTTCGCTGATATGCGTCGCAAAACTATTATGCATGCTTTACCAGTTGACATGTTAGTTGAATAATGTATATCAATAGAGGTATCCATTTCCCACTCCCAAATGCCCAAGTCTGTATTTTCTCATTCGTTTCGGCACATGATCTTTACATTACAGACACACACAAACATTTATTCACACACACACCTTTATACACAGGCATTTGATTGTTAATTGATTGAATTTAAAGGAAGGTGTTTGTCCCTAAAGATTTTGTTAATATTTTCAAGGTAATAGGTAATAGGCAATAAAGCTAGATGTCTGGGTTTTCGTTTAATAAATATCTTGCATATGTTATAAACACTTAGGCGTAAGTAGGGGCGGGTTCGTAGGCAGGGGCGGGCTTGTAAGCAAGGGCAGGCTTGTAAGCAGGGGCAGGCTTGTAAGCAGAAGCAGGCTTGTAGGCGGGAGTAGGATGGTACTCGGGGTACTGGGCTTCACCCTCGTAGCTGACCTCAGCCACGTAGCCAGAGTCGCTGTTGACAGTGTAGGTGACCCTCTGCAGACGACCATCGGGAAGCAGAACGAAGTAGGAACCCTGAGTGTTGTATCCATCGCGTGCTTCCTGGTGACCGAAGTCGTTTCCGGAGTAGTCGTCCTTGACAGCGTAGTTGAAGCTGTACTTAGCTGGAGACTAAAAATAAAAAATATTTAGTTTGTAATTGAACTATGAGAAATGATTTATTTCTTAAGCATAGCAAGTCGAAAATTCTCAGAATATGGTGTATTACTTACGTCATAAGTTGCTGGAGGAGAGTAGTCGTAAGAGGGCTGTGAAGGAGCAGCTAAAGCGACAGCCACAAGGGCGAGAGCGGCGGCGGCCTAAGAGACGAGACAAAATGTCAAATATACTAAGGATGGGAAGAGATCAATTCTTATGCAAATTGGCAGAAATTTAGAGAGATTTATTAAGGAAATAACAATTAAAAGAGGAACGGTAAAATAGAATGAGAAAATTATATTGTCAATTAATATATATATGCACATGCATTTACACACATATATACTGCGCGTATATAATTATTTTCGCTTGACAAACGTGAAGATAAATGAATATATATAAGTATTTATAAAACTTAGACTCATTTCACACCTTAGTAAACATGATCAAGATAGATGGAGATTGACTAAGATGCATCAGACGTCTAGCCGTTGCCTTTTATAATGTGTAACTCTCGTAAACTCTTCTCAGCCACTCCCTTTTCCACTGTCCAGCTGACCCTCACCTTGGCGACGGCGAAAGTAAGTAGTTTACTCTAATTACCTCCGGATGAAGTGTTAGCGCTTACTGTTTTCCGGAAAATTAGCTTTTATTTAACCAAATGAAAGGTGACTGACCAGTTCGTGTAAGCAATTCTAAAGAATCTTGAATTTGGTTTTCCTACTTCTGACGAAAATAAGAGCTTGTTCACATGGTAAAGAAGAAAAGTAAGAAGGACAAAACGTGTTTTTTATGAGTAAAAGAAAACAGAAAAGAAAAAGGGAGAAAGAGGTAGGAGATATATAGGGAGATATAGAAAATTAGGGGGAAATATATGGAACTACTTTCACGAAGTGATTTTATTTTTGTTATGATCTATTTGTGAAATGAATTCAAGCATTAAACACAATCTAATTGAATTGCTGATCTGAATGGTTTGCTTATTATCTTTATGAATGTGTTAATGGCTGTGCAATTACTAGCACATCTTTCAATAAAATTGATTTTTCATATTTTCATCAACCACACACTCCTACCAACCTTGCCCCCCTCCCCACACGCATATAAACATATAAAATATACTGTATATATATCAACGATACAGAATAAGCTAATCGAAAACTGGCATTTTGATTCTTGTATTATTATCAAGAAATTTTGATGCCGGAAAATACTGGCATCTTGATACTCAATCCTGGTATGGAACTTACGGATAATTTTACTAGTAAGTAGATGTGAATTTTTTTTGAGCCATAGGTTGCAGAAGAAGCGTATCGCATGACGGTTCTTCGGAAACCACAAAAAATATGACAGACAGTGGTCTGAAAGTGAACCCGACTTTAATTAAAGTTGAAACACGAAGTTTAAATGCGGAGGAAATTAAAATCTGAAATCTGAACTGACATTAGCAAAATAACGCAGACATTTAAATGCATTAAATTAATTTTATTTACCATATTTCTATAGATTACTTACTGCAATTTTCGAAATTCTACCGAATACCTTGAGCCTACACAGCAGAAAAACACTTGACTGAAAGGTACGGCCACAAAGGCGAGAGCAACGACGGTCTGAAAGGGGAGACAGAATATCAAATATGCTAAGGATGAATATTAGGATGAAAAGATTAGCGGAAAAGTAGAATGAGAAAGTAATCTGGCCGATTAATGTACAGTACATATATACACACAGTACATATACATGTATATACATATACACACACACGTTATTATAAGTATATACACTGTGCTTTTATAGTGCTCTTATTTAGGCTTGGCAAACGTTTTGAAGATAGATGAATATATATATATATATATATATATATATATATATATATATATATATTAATACTTAGACTCGATTCACATCTTAGTGAACATGATGAAGATAGAGATCGATTGAGATGCATCAGACGTCGAGCCGTTTCCTTTTATACTGCGTGTCTCTCGTAAATCTCCTCAGCCAATACCTTGTCCACTGTCCTGCCCACCCTAACCTTGGCGAGGGCGAAAATAAGTAGTATACTCCAATTACCTTTGAATGAGTGTGAACAAACAAAAACAGGTATTGATTGAAAATGCATACGTACCTTACACGCTTGTGTATATATTCATCAGTATATATATATGAACATAAATGTAAACATGGGTATAACTCTAAATGTTACACTAAACCTAAAGGTATAGGACCATGGGGTATGGGAACAAGCTTATGAAATTTATTGTGGAAAGATCTTCAGTGTTTTCTAAAATAAAGAAGATTGGTTTGGATGGAAGATCGCCCGAAAACTGAAAGGATGTAACTTTTCAAGGTAAGCAAAGCAAGTTCAAGACTTTTAAAGAAACAATCTTCCACTTTCGCACAGCGACTGCTATCATACGAACGGTGACGTTCACAATTAAAAAACTGAAAGCGTAATCTAGAACTATTGTTGTGATTACCAAATGAAGGGTGACTGACCTGTTAGTGGAGGCAATTCTAAAGAACCTTTTCTATGGTTTTCCTACGTCTGGTTGAAATAAGTGCTTGTGCACATTGTGGATACGGAGAGCAGTATGAAGTTAAAACGTGGTTTCTATAAATATAGAAAAAGGAGAAAAGAGAAGATAAAGAGAGAAAGAAGAAGCTAGCTATACATATAGATATACAAATAGATATATAGGAAAATAGAAAAAAAAACTGACGGAACTACTGTCAGAGAGTAAATCTGTTATATTATGCTGAATTTTAAAACGAATTCGGGAATTAAACTTTAAATGAATTGATGATCTGAATGGTTTGCTTATTATCTTTAGCTGTCGGTGACTCTTACAATTAAATCTTCGGTGTATCACTTAAACAATGCATCTCATGATTATGTTACAGTTAGTACTATTACTAGCACATCTTTCAATAGAAATAAATTTTCATAATTTCATCAAACATTCAAACGCATACATATAAGCACATAAACACACCGACACACAATCATATACACGGAAACACATATAGATGCAAAGCATATGTATAAAAAAGTAGTGTCTTCAAACACTGGCATTTTTACTCTAATGTTGGTATAATCTCACAATTTTGATACGGTGAAATTCTGGTATCCTAAAATTAAATATTCAGTGTTCTTAACTAGTGAGTTTTCTGTAAGACATAGGTTTATGAGGAAGTGTGTCATAAGATGACTGTTTGGGAGCATCAGAGTGGCCACAACAAGGTCATCACCGACAGTGGTCAGAGAGTAAAGACGCTTCACTTAAGTTGAAACACGAGAGTTAATCGCAGATGATGACACTAAAATAGCATATCTAAAATATCTTTGACTTTTAGAAGAGAAAATACTTTCAGAAACGAAAGTTAAGGAATAGGGAAATAAGACGAAATTTTGAAAACATTAAATGCATTTTAGTTGCCATATTCTTGTAGGTTAATCACTTCTGTTTCCACGATTCTACCCACTAATACCTTGTTGAGGCTAAACTTACATCGCTGATATGTAACACAAAACCATTATGACTGTAATTTACCAATTCCTATGTCGGCTGACATTCTCACACTGAAATAAACAGTTCTATAATGTCTCATTCGTTTCGATACACACACAGGGACAAAAATTTAATCGCTCACACGCACGGCTTTATACACAGACATGCATTTGAACTTTTTACTTCTCTATATTTACTAAATCTTTTCGTTTCTAGTTAATTGATTTAACTTAAAGGAAGATGATTTTTGCTTAAGATTTTGTTAATATATTTTCAGGTTGAAAAGTGATACAACTAGATGCTCAGGATTTTGTTTAATAAATATCTTGCATATATTAGATTATACACTCTTAGGCGTAAGCAGGGGTAGGCGTGTAAGTGGGAGCGGGTTCATAGGAAGGGGCAGGCTTGTAGGCAGGAGCAGGCTTGTAAGCAGGAGCAGGCTTGTAGGCAGGAGCAGGATGATACTCAGGGTATTGGGCTTCACCCTCGTAGCTGACCTCAGCCACATAGCCAGAGTCACCGTTGACAGTGTAAGTGACCTTCTGCAGACGACCGTCGGGAAGCAGAACGAAGTAGGAACCCTGAGTGTTGTATCCGTCGCGTGCTTCCTGGTGGCCGAAGTCGTTTCCAGAGTAGTCGTCCTTGACAGCGTAGTTAAATTCATATTTAGCAGGAGACTAAAAGAGGTAAAAAAAATCATGGTTAATTTCGAGCTATTAGAAAATATACATTATTAAAGCAGATTTTAGCAAAAAATTAATAATAATAATACGGGATAGGACTTACGTCATAGGATGCCGGAGGAGAGTAGTCGTAGGAAGGCTGTGAAGGGGCAGCCAAAGCGAGAGCCACAAGGGCAAGAACGACGGCGGTCTGGAATACGAGACAAAAGTTCAAATATACTATGGAGAAGATACAGATAAATACGAAAACAGGCAGCTGAATATATATTTATACTGTGCGTATGTAATTTATGTTATTTAGATTCGCACCTTAGTGAACATGATGAAGACAGGTGATCGACTGAGATGCATCAGAACTCGAGCCGTTGCCTTTTATACTGCGTGACTCTCGTAAACTCTCCTCAGCCACTCCCTTTCCACTGTCCAGCCGACCCTCACCTTGGTGACGGCGAAAGTAATGTGGGCCCCCTACTCTAATTACCTCTGAAGTGTTAACAAACTAAAAGAAATTTATTTAAATGCATACATACTTCACACGCGTATGTAAATCTAGTGTCTATGAATACGAATATAAATATGAATATCAATATAAATATAAGTATGAATATAAAAATGTAAATGTAAGGCCAAGTCAGAAGGCAGACCTTTAGACCACGAGGTACACTATCGAAGAGTATGAAGCTTATAGTTGAAGGAGCTTCTAGGCCTTCTTATACATATCAAGAAAGATCCTACACGTTGCAAAGCTAAACGGGAGTAATTGATCTAAACGCGTAATCTAAGACTAGTTCCCAAATGTAGGGTGATTAGTCTGCGGAGAATCTTGAAATACTTTTTCCTTCTGCAAGAGCAAATCAAAGCATATTAACTGAAAATCGCCGGGCACATAACGAAGAAGACTAAGAAGAGAAAAAAACGTGTTTTCCATATATATATATCAAAAATAAATATAATCCTTCTTTAATACCCGACGCAAAAATACATTTAATATCTACATGATACGTCATTGGTTAGTTGAATAATTCACACACACATATATGTGTATGTATATACATGCATATATACAAATACATATGTTTATATTATATATGATAAAATGATCTTCCTTTGGACACTGGTATTTTCACTCATAATTTCGATAGCGGAAAATACTAGTATCTTGATATTTAATACCGGTACCAAAATACCAGTTTTCGTCACTAAGATGTACATTGGCGTTTCCCTTGCCCCATAGTGTATCGTGAGAAGGCTATGAAGGAGCCCCATAGTGACGTTCAAACAAAATTTAAAAATGCGAATGAAATTGACACAGATATCGTAAATCTGACATAACGTTGACAATAAATAGTAAATTAAAAAGAATACTGAAATGACAATGCATACTGATGCATTCACGCTTTTGTTTTGAATCAAACACGCATGTGCGCGCGCACACACACACACACACGCACACACACACACACACACACACATATATACACACACACACATTCTCACACACACACACACACTAACGCACACTAACACATAGAAATGTATTCATATATACATATATACACACATATATGTGCACACACGCGCATATATATACACATATATGTAGACACACGCATATATATACATATATATGTACACACACGCATATATAAACACATATATAAACACACACACACACGTATATATGTGTGTGTGTGTGTGTGTGCTGTAGGGTACATATGCTGATGAGAGTATACATCGGCTCGGTGAACAAGCTTGCGTGTGTGTGTATATTTGTATATATAAAAATACATATGTATCTATATATATTTCACATTTGTAAACACACACACATGTATGTGCGAGTGTGTATGTATATACATATACACACACACAAACACATTTATATGTGTTTGTGTGCATATATATGTATTTATCCATACATGCATATATACATACATACGCACACACGTATACACACACACACACAATATTTATATTTACACACACATATGTATAAATATATATATGTATATGTATAGGTATATATATTATTTCATATGAAAGGTCCCTAGAAAATGTATCCCCAAGAAGGCCGCAAGAGAGAGGCATAGTGGCTCTAGAGGGTCTGATACTGAACTTAGAACCTAGATTACCAGAGAGAAATGTCACTAATATTGGATATTTTGATTTGTAGTGTCAGGAAAGAAAGTGAAAAAATATGAAGCACTGACGGGACACTGTTGATAGTTTGGGTTCAGATAGGCTAAACATGGCTTCTACATGTTGTGTTGATAACTTGCAACGTTCCCAGGCTCATTAAAAGGGCCCGATTGATACGTTCGGGAACGAGTGTATAGTGTAAGTAGGGATGTAAGGTCAAAATTGTGGAAAGGGGCGACAGTAGTGTGTGTATGTGTGTGTGTGAAGTGTAGTTGTGCAAATGAGCCGAAGTGAGGTAGGCGTGTTTTGAATCTCGAGGAGAGGCGTGTACAGATGTTTTAGGGTGTTTGATTATTTACCTTGTAAACATTAGAAACTACAACATGTTTAAGAATTATTCAGCCTTCCTTCTTATGAAGATCGGGGACTTATCAAAATGTATTATAAAATTAGCTATTTATTTTGTAAAACAAAGATAAAACACTAAAACAAAAAACGAAACAGACATAAAACAAAGTAAAACACAAAACACAAACATCAAAACGAGAACGACCTTTTCTCACGTATAGTACAACTATATTACTTATCTTATATTACTGAGACCACCTTATCCTGCGCACCACAACCACAGTCCAGCACTTGAATTGGCCTGGACCTCGAACCTGTCTGTGAGATAATATATCGAGGTCTGTGAGATGATATAGCAAAAATAAAAAAGAACCATCGTGTACACAGTAAAATAAGTTCATAACATATCCAGTATAAAAATGTAAAGAAAATAATAAAAATAAATAAAATGTAAAATATTAATAATAAAGTTGAGATAAAACGATAATAAGTCAGATTAAAATCAAAAGTTTCTTTACAAATTCATTTTGGTGGCCTCTTTTTAAACTAAGGTCCGTGTAAAACTGTAAAAAAGTTTATTAAAATACAATAGAACAACTTAAGCAAAAGTAAAGCAAATAAAACGAAAGCAAAGGTGACGAGGCCGCGCAGGTGAGTCGTTCCATATGAGCTTCCAATTTTCTGTTGCCGAAGCTTCCACACCACGCCGGGCATCCTCACCCCCGGGGAATAAAAATAGGGGTTTTGGGCGATCTAAGAGGTGTACGAGGCTGCGACCTCCTTCGTGGAGCGAGTGTGGACGCCTTCATCTCGTAAAGGGGAGGTTGGAGGAAAGAATATGTAGGGGACCGTGGGGCAATAGGTTATGCGATATGCTTACACCATGGCGGCAGGAACGCCTGCTGGCAATCCCACCGCCACGGTAAGCAACGAGTGTCAAAGAACAAAATGAAACAACCGTAAAAAGCTGACACAGGGCGGGCCATATATAGAGGGCCCGGGCGAAGCTAGAACTTCGCAAATCTCAATCGCATCGGCGTACACAGGCGGTCCACCACATATTAACTGCATATCAACGTTTAATTCTCTATATTTACTAAATGTTTTCAGTTCTAGTCAGTTCATATAATCTAAAAGAAGACGTTTCTTGTTAAAAAAAATCATATATTTTTTCAGGTTGAAAGGGGATACATGCTCAGGTTTTCGTTTAATAAATATCTTGCACATATTATATTATACACACTTAGGCGTAAGTAGGGGCGGGTTTGTAGTTAGGGGTAGGCGTGTAAGTGGGAGCAGGTTCATAAGCAGGAGCAGGCTTGTAAGCAGGATCAGGTTTGTAGGCAGGAGCAGGATGGTATTCGGGGTACTGGGCCTCACCCTCGTAGCTGACCTCAGCTAGTTTGAAGATAGATGAATATATATATATATATGTATATATATATATATGTATACATATATGTATATATATATATATGTATACATATATGTATATATATATATATATATAGGTATATATATTATTTCATATGAAAGGTCCCTAGAAAATGTATCCCCAAGAAGGCCGCAAGAGAGAGGCATAGTGGCTCTAGAGGGTCTGATACTGAACTTAGAACCTAGATTACCAGAGAGAAATGTCACTAATATTGGATATTTTGATTTGTAGTGTCAGGAAAGAAAGTGAAAAAATATGAAGCACTGGCGGGACACTGTTGATAGTTTGGGTTCAGATAGGCTAAACATGGCTTCTACATGTTGTGTTGATAACTTGCAACGTTCCCAGGCTCATTAAAAGGGCCCGATTGGTACGTTCGTGAACGAGTGTATTGTGTAAGTAGGGATGTAAGGTCAGAATTGTGGAAAGGGGCGACAGTAGTGTGTGTATGTGTGTGTATGTGAAGTGTAGTTGTGCAAATGAGCCGAAGGGAGGTAGGCGTGTTTTGAATCTCGAGGAGAGGCGTGTACAGATGTTTTAGGGTGTTTGATTATTTACCTTGTAAACATTAGAAACTACAACATGTTTAAGAATTATTCAGCCTTCCTTCTTATGAAGATCGGGGACTTATCAAAATGTATTATAAAATTAGCTATTTATTTTGTAAAACAAAGATAAAACACTAAAACAAAAAACGAAACAGACATAAAACAAAGTAAAACACAAAACACAAACATCAAAACGAGAACGACCTTTTCTCACGTATAGTACAACTATATTACTTATATTACTGAGACCACCTTATCCTGCGCACCACAACCACAGTCCAGCACTTGAATTGGCCTGGACCTCGAACCTGTCTGTGAGATAATATATCGAGGTCTGTGAGATGATATAGCAAAAATAAAAAAGAACCATCGTGTACACAGTAAAATAAGTTCATAACATATCCAGTATAAAAATGTAAAGAAAATAATAAAAATAAATAAAATGTAAAATATTAATAATAAAGTTGAGATAAAACGATAATAAGTCAGATTAAAATCAAAAGTTTCTTTACAAATTCATTTTGGTGGCCTCTTTTCAAACTAAGGTCCGTGTAAAACTGTAAAAAAGTTTATTAAAATACAATAGAACAACTTAAGCAAAAGTAAAGCAAATAAAACGAAAGCAAAGGTGACGAGGCCGCGCAGGTGAGTCGTTCCATATGAGCTTCCAATTTTCTGTTGCCGAAGCTTCCACACCACGCCGGGCATCCTCACCCCCGGGGAATAAAAATAGGGGTTTTGGGCGATCTAAGAGGTGTACGAGGCTGCGACCTCCTTCGTGGAGCGAGTGTGGACGCCTTCATCTCGTAAAGGGGAGGTTGGAGGAAAGAATATGTAGGGGACCGTGGGGCAATAGGTTATGCGATATGCTTACACCATGGCGGCAGGAACGCCTGCTGGCAATCCCACCGCCACGGTAAGCAACGAGTGTCAAAGAACAAAATGAAACAACCGTAAAAAGCTGACACAGGGCGGGCCATATATAGAGGGCCCGGGCGAAGCTAGAACTTCGCAAATCTCAATCGCATCGGCGTACACAGGCGGTCCACCACATATTAACTGCATATCAACGTTTAATTCTCTATATTTACTAAATGTTTTCAGTTCTAGTCAGTTCATATAATCTAAAAGAAGACGTTTCTTGTTAAAAAAAATCATATATTTTTTCAGGTTGAAAGGGGATACATGCTCAGGTTTTCGTTTAATAAATATCTTGCACATATTATATTATACACACTTAGGCGTAAGTAGGGGCGGGTTTGTAGTTAGGGGTAGGCGTGTAAGTGGGAGCAGGTTCATAAGCAGGAGCAGGCTTGTAAGCAGGATCAGGTTTGTAGGCAGGAGCAGGATGGTATTCGGGGTACTGGGCCTCACCCTCGTAGCTGACCTCAGCTAGTTTGAAGATAGATGAATATATATATATATATGTATACATATATGTATATATATACATATATATGTATATATATATATATATATATATATATATATATATACATATATATGTATATATATGCATATATATATGTATATATATATATATGTATATATATGTATATGTATATATATATATATATATATATATATATATATATATATTAATACTTAGACTCGATTCAAGCCTTAGTGAACATCGACATCAGACATCGAGCCGTTTCTCTCGTAACTCGACAGCGAAAGTATGCAGTATATCTAATTACTTCTGAATGAGTGTGCACAAACAAGCAAAAAGGTAACTGATTGAAATTGCATATTTACCTCACACGTTTGTATATGTATTCATCAGTAAATATAAAGATAAATGTAAATATGGATATAACTATAAATGTAACACTAAGCCTAAGGAAAACACTTTTGACCATGGGGCACTTGAATAAAGCTTATGAAGTTCATTGTGGAGGAATCTCCAATCAAAGTCTTCTTAAGTAAATAAGTCTTTGTCTTGGACGAGAGTTCGCCCAAAAACTGAGCGGGCGTAATTTTTCAACGTAAGACTTTGAAACAATCTACTTCCGCTTTAGCGCAGCGAATGCTATCACACGCGCGACGACTTTCACACACAAAAACAAACAAACAAACAAAAAGCGGAAAGTGTAATCTAGAGCTATAGTTGTAATTACCAAATATGGGGTGACTAACCTGTTCGTTTAAGTAATTCGAAAGAATCATGACTTTGGTTTCCATTCTTTTGTAGTAAATTAGAGCTTGTTCAAATGGTGAAAATTCAGGATAATAAGGGTAAAATAGTTTCTATGAATAAAAGAAAAGAAAGGAAAGAGAGGTAAAGAGAGAAAGAGGGTGAGACAAATACACAGATACATATATTTGCAAAGCTAATTCGGGAATGAAACTTGATATAATTGAACTGATGATTTGAACGATTTACTTATCTTTAACTGTCGGAGAAATACATTTCAGGAAGATTCCCTCATGAACATTATATAATTATTTTGCCCATATGCTTATATTTTCGGTGTATCAATTCAATAATTCTTCTCATGATTATGTTACAGGAAGTACTAATACTAACACAACTTTCAATAGAAATCACACACACAAACATATATAGATGCATAACAACTATATAGAACGAAAAAGGTAGGGTCTTCAAACACTGGCATTTTTACCTTCAAGTTGGTATAATCTCGCAATTTTGATACCGTAAAATGCTGATATCCTAATATCAAACGTCCAGTCTTCTTAGCTAGTATGTGAGTTTTCTATAAGTCATAGTTGACGAAGAAGCGTATCCTTAGAGGGAGTATTAGAGTAGCCGCAACAAGGACATGGCCAACAGTGGTCAGATATCAAAGACGTTTTATTGAAATTGAAACAAAGCTAAACACAGATGACACTAAATCGCAAATCTGAAATATATTTGACCTTTAGAAGAGAAAATAATTTCAAAAATGAAAGTTAAGGAACAGGAAAATAAGGTGGAACTTTGAAAACATTAAATGCATTTTAGTTACCATATTTCTGTAGGTTAATCACTCCTTCACTCCTATTTCCACAATTCTACCGACCAATACCATGTTGAGCCTTACGTCGTTGATATGCGACGCAAACCCATTAAGACTGTAATTTACCAATTCTTATGTCGACTGACATTCTCACACTGAAATGCACAGTTCTATATTTCTAAATCGTTTCGATACATCGTGATCTTTGAATTATGCATACATACAGAGACAAACATTTAATTACACACACACACAACCTTTTACACAGACATGCATTTGAACGTTTTACTTCTCTTTATTTACTAAATGTTTTCGATTCTAGTTAATTGATTGAATTTCAAGGAACACTTTGGTGCTAAAGATTTTGTTAATATATTGTTCAGGTTGAAACGTGATACTAGATTCTCAGGTTCTTGTTTAATAAATATCTTGCATATATTAGATTATACACACTTAGGCGTAAGCAGGGGTAGGCTTGTAAGTGGGAGCAGGTTCATAGGAAGGGGCAGGCTTGTAGGCAGGAGCAGGCTTGTAAGCAGGAGCAGGCTTGTAGGCAGGAGTGGGATGGTACTCGGGGTACTGGGCCTCGCCTTCGTAGCTGACCTCAGCCACATAGCCAGAGTCACCGTTGACAGTGTATGTGACCTTCTGCAGACGACCGTCGGGAAGCAGAACGAAGTAGGAACCCTGAGTGTTGTATCCGTCACGTGCTTCCTGGTGGCCGAAGTCGTTTCCAGAGTAGTCGTCCTTGACAGCGTAGTTGAAGTCATACTTAGCAGGAGACTAAAAAAGGTAAAAAAAAGTCATGGTTCATTTCGAGCTATTAGAAAATATACATTATTAAAGCAGATTTTAGCAAAAAATTAATAATAATAATACGGGATAGGACTTACGTCATAGGATGCCGGAGGAGAGTAGTCGTAGGAAGGCTGTGAAGGGGCAGCCAAAGCGAGAGCCACAAGGGCAAGAACGACGGCGGTCTGGAATGCGAGACAAAAGTTCAAATATATTATGGAGAAGATACAGATAAATACGAAAACAGGCAGCTGAGTATATATTTATACTGTGCGTATGTAATGCCCTTATTTAGATTTAGTAACCATAAAAATATAGTGTGCTTATTTAAACTTGATTCGCACCTTAGTGAACATGATGAAGACAGGTGATCGACTGAGATGCATCAAACCTCGAGCCGTTGCCTTTTATACTGCGTGATTCTCTTAAACTCTCCTCAGCCACTCCCTTTCCACTGCCCAGCCGACCCTCACCTTGGTGACGGCGAAAGTAATGTGGGCCCCCTACTCTAATTACCTCTGGTGTTAACAAACTAAAATAAATTTATTTAAATGCATACATACTTCACACGCGTATGTAAATCTAGTGTCTATGTATACGAATATAAATATGAATAGCAGGGGTAGGCTTGTAAGTGGGAGCAGGTTCATAGGAAGGGGCAGGCTTGTAGGCAGGAGCAGGCTTGTAAGCAGGAGCAGGCTTGTAGGCAGGAGCAGGCTTGTAGGCAGGAGCAGGCTTGTAAGCAGGAGCAGGCTTGTAAGCAGGAGCAGGCTTGTAAGCAGGAGCAGGCTTGTAGGCAGGAGCAGGCTTGTAGGCAGGAGCAGGCTTGTAAGCAGGAGCAGGCTTGTAGGCAGGAGCAGGCTTGTAAGCAGGAGCAGGCTTGTAGGCAGGAGCAGGCTTGTAAGCAGGAGCAGGCTTGTAGGCAGGAGCAGGCTTGTAGGCAGGAGCAGGCTTGTAAGCAGGAGCAGGCTTGTAGGCAGGAGCAGGCTTGTAGGCAGGAGCAGGCTTGTAGGCAGGAGCAGGCTTGTAGGCAGGAGCAGGCTTGTAAGCAGGAGCAGGCTTGTAGGCAGGAGCAGGCTTGTAAGCAGGAGCAGGCTTGTAAGCAGGAGCAGGCTTGTAAGCAGGAGCAGGCTTGTAAGCAGGAGCAGGCTTGTAGGCAGGAGCAGGCTTGTAGGCAGGAGCAGGCTTGTAAGCAGGAGCAGGCTTGTAAGCAGGAGCAGGCTTGTAAGCAGGAGCAGGCTTGTAGGCAGGAGCAGGCTTGTAAGCAGGAGCAGGCTTGTAAGCAGGAGCAGGCTTGTAAGCAGGAGCAGGCTTGTAGGCAGGAGCAGGCTTGTAAGCAGGAGCAGGCTTGTAGGCAGGAGCAGGCTTGTAAGCAGGAGCAGGCTTGTAGGCAGGAGCAGGCTTGTAGGCAGGAGCAGGCTTGTAAGCAGGAGCAGGCTTGTAGGCAGGAGCAGGCTTGTAGGCAGGAGCAGGCTTGTAAGCAGGAGCAGGCTTGTAAGCAGGAGCAGGCTTGTAAGCAGGAGCAGGCTTGTAAGCAGGAGCAGGCTTGTAAGCAGGAGCAGGCTTGTAGGCAGGAGCAGGCTTGTAAGCAGGAGCAGGCTTGTAGGCAGGAGCAGGCTTGTAAGCAGGAGCAGGCTTGTAAGCAGGAGCAGGCTTGTAGGCAGGAGCAGGCTTGTAAGCAGGAGCAGGCTTGTAAGCAGGAGCAGGCTTGTAAGCAGGAGCAGGCTTGTAAGCAGGAGCAGGCTTGTAGGCAGGAGCAGGCTTGTAAGCAGGAGCAGGCTTGTAAGCAGGAGCAGGCTTGTAGGCAGGAGCAGGCTTGTAAGCAGGAGCAGGCTTGTAAGCAGGAGCAGGCTTGTAAGCAGGAGCAGGCTTGTAAGCAGGAGCAGGCTTGTAGGCAGGAGCAGGCTTGTAAGCAGGAGCAGGCTTGTAAGCAGGAGCAGGCTTGTAAGCAGGAGCAGGCTTGTAAGCAGGAGCAGGCTTGTAAGCAGGAGCAGGCTTGTAGGCAGGAGCAGGCTTGTAGGCAGGAGCAGGCTTGTAAGCAGGAGCAGGCTTGTAGGCAGGAGCAGGCTTGTAAGCAGGAGCAGGCTTGTAAGCAGGAGCAGGCTTGTAGGCAGGAGCAGGCTTGTAAGCAGGAGCAGGCTTGTAAGCAGGAGCAGGCTTGTAAGCAGGAGCAGGCTTGTAGGCAGGAGCAGGCTTGTAAGCAGGAGCAGGCTTGTAAGCAGGAGCAGGCTTGTAAGCAGGAGCAGGCTTGTAGGCAGGAGCAGGCTTGTAGGCAGGAGCAGGCTTGTAGGCAGGAGTGGGATGGTACTCGGGGTACTGGGCCTCGCCTTCGTAGCTGACCTCAGCCACATAGCCAGAGTCACCGTTGACAGTGTATGTGACCTTCTGCAGACGACCGTCGGGAAGCAGAACGAAGTAGGAACCCTGAGTGTTGTATCCGTCACGTGCTTCCTGGTGGCCGAAGTCGTTTCCAGAGTAGTCGTCCTTGACAGCGTAGTTGAAGTCATACTTAGCAGGAGACTAAAAAAGGTAAAAAAAAGTCATGGTTCATTTCGAGCTATTAGAAAATATACATCATTAAAGCAGATTTTAGCAAAAAAAAAAAAATATATATATATATATGTATATATAGGTATATATATTATTTTATATAAAAGGTCCCTAGAAAAAAGTATCCCCAAGAAGGCCGCAAAAGAGAGGCATAGTGGCTCTAGAGGGTCTGATACTGAACTTAGAAGATTACCAGAGATACATGTCACTAATATTGGGTATTTTGATTCGCAATGTAAGGAAAGAAAGTAAAAAAAAATATATATATATATATATGAAGCACTGACGGGACACTGTTGATAGTTTAGGTTCAGATAGGCTAGACATGGTTTCTACTTGTTCTGTTGATATTCCTATGTCAGCTGACATTCTCACACTGAAATGCACAATTCCATATTTTCTCATTCGTTTCGAAACATCGTGATCTTTAAATTATGCATACATACAGAGACAAACATTTAATTACACACACACACACACAACCTTTTACACAGACATGCATTTGAACGTTTTATTTCTCTTATTTTACTAAATGTTTTCGATTCTAATTAATTGATTGAATTTCAAGGAACACTTTGGTGCTAAAGATTTTGTTAATATATTTTTCAGGTTAAAAGGCGATACAACTAGATGCTCAGGTTTTTGTTTAATAAATATCTTGCATATATTAGATTATACACTCTTAGGCGTAAGCAGGGGTAGGCGTGTAAGTGGGAGCAGGTTTATAGGAAGGGGCATGCTTGTAGGCAGGAGCAGGCTTGTAAGCAGGAGCAGGCTTGTAGGCAGGAGTGGGGATGGTACTCGGGGTACTGGGCCTCGCCTTCGTAGCTGACCTCAGCCACAGTATCCAGAGTCGCTGTTGACAGTGTAAGTGACCTTCTGCAGACGACCGTCGGGAAGGAGAACGAAATAGGAACCCTGTGTGTTATATCCGTCACGGGCTTCTGGTGGCCGAAGTCGTTTCCAGAGTAGTCGTCCTTAACAGCATAGTTGAAGATCAGTACTTAGCAGGAGACTAAAAAAGTAAAAGAAAGTTACGGTTAGTTTCGAGCTATTAGAAAATATACATTATTAAAGCAGATTTTAGCAAAAAAAAAAAAAAAATATATATATATATACATATATATATGTATGTATAAATATATATATATATGTATAAATATATATATATATATGTATATATAGGTATATATATTATTTTATATAAAAGGTCCCTAGAAAAAAGTATCCCCAAGAAGGCCGCAAAAGAGAGGCATAGTGGCTCTAGAGGGTCTGATACTGAACTTAGAAGATTACCAGAGATACATGTCACTAATATTGGGTATTTTGATTCGCAATGTAAGGAAAGAAAGTAAAAAAAAATATATATGTATACATATATATATATGAAGCACTGACGGGACACTGTTGGTAGTTTAGGTTCAGATAGGCTAGACATGGTTTCTACTTGTTCTTTTGATATTCCTATGTCAGCTGACATTCTCACACTGAAATGCACAATTCTATATTTTCTCATTCGTTTCGAAACATCGTGATCTTTAAATTATGCATACATACAGAGACAAACATTTAATTACACACACACACACACAACCTTTTGACACAGACATGCATTTGAACGTTTTATTCTCTCTTTATTTTTACTAAATGTTTTCGATTCTAATTAATTGATTGAATTTCAAGGAACACTTTGGTGCTAAAGATTTTGTTTGTTAATATAATTTCCAGGTTGAAAGGCGATACAACTAGATGCTCAGGTTTTTGTTTAATAAATATCTTGCATATATTAGATTATACACTCTTAGGCGTAAGCAGGGGTAGGCGTGTAAGTGGGAGCAGGTTTATAGGAAGGGGCAGGCTTGTAGGCAGGAGCAGGCTTGTAAGCAGGAGCAGGCTTGTAGGCAGGAGTGGGATGGTACTCGGGGTACTGGGCCTCGCCTTCGTAGCTGACCTCAGCCACGTACCCAGAGTCGCTGTTGACAGTGTAAGTGACCTTCTGCAGACGACCGTCGGGAAGGAGAACGAAATAGGCACCCTGTGTGTTATATCCGTCACGGGCTTCTTGGTGGCCGAAGTCGTTTCCAGAGTAGTCGTCCTTAACAGCATAGTTGAAATCGTACTTAGCAGGAGACTAAAAAAGAAAAGAAAGTTACGGTTAGTTTCGAGCTATTAGAAAATATACATTATTAAATCAGATCAAGCAGAACATTCTCATAATACGGGATAGGACCTACGTCATAGGATGCCGGAGGAGAGTAGTCGTAAGAAGGCTGTGAAGGAGCAGCCAAAGCGACGGCCACAAGGGCAAGAACGACGGCGGTCTGGAATACGAGACAAAAGTTAAAATATACTCTGAATGAGATATGTATAAATACTAAGATAAATAGTTGAGTATATATATATACTGGTCGCATATAATGCCTCATTTAGACTTAGCAACCATAAAGATACACATGTGTGAATAGTGTACTTATTTAGAATTGATTCGCACCTTAGTGAACATGATGAAGATAGATAACCGACTGAGATAGCATCAAACGTTGAGTCGTAGCCTTTTATACTGCGTGACTCGCAAACTCTCCTCAGCCACTCCCCTCCCACTGTTCACCTGGCCTTCACCTTGGCGACAGCGAAAGTAGTAACTCTAATTACCTCTTAAGTGTGAATAAGCAAACTAAAAGGAATTCAATTCATACTTCACAGGCTTATGCAAATCCATTGTCTATGAATATCAATATAAGTATAAATATAGAAATGTAAATGTAAGGACAAGTTAGAAAGCAAACATTTAGACCATGAGGTACATTATCGAAGAATATGAAGCTTATTGTTGAAGGATCTTCTAGGACTTCTCTTACCTTTTTAAGAGAAAACCTACGCGTTGCAGCAGCAGAGAGATCGCCCCAGAGTAGACGGGTGTATTTAATCTGAGTGACGTCCAGACCTTTAAGAAAAGCTTCATCTTTTTTAGCGTAACGAATGCTATCAGACAACGTTGACATTCCCAAGGATAAAACGGAACTACATATATGTATATATAGGTATATATATTATTTTATATAAAAGGTCCCTAGAAAAAAGTATCCCCAAGAAGGCCGCAAAAGAGAGGCATAGTGGCTCTAGAGGGTCTGATACTGAACTTAGAAGATTACCAGAGATACATGTCACTAATATTGGGTATTTTGATTCGCAATGTCAGGAAAGAAAGTAAAAAAAAAAATATATATATATATATGAAGCACTGACGGGACACTGTTGATAGTTTAGGTTCAGATAGGCTAGACATGGTTTCTACTTGTTCTGTTGATATTCCTATGTCAGCTGACATTCTCACACTGAAATGCACAATTCCATATTTTCTCATTCGTTTCGAAACATCGTGATCTTTAAATTATGCATACATACAGAGACAAACATTTAATTACACACACACACACACAACCTTTTACACAGACATGCATTTGAACGTTTTATTTCTCTTATTTTACTAAATGTTTTCGATTCTAATTAATTGATTGAATTTCAAGGAACACTTTGGTGCTAAAGATTTTGTTAATATATTTTTCAGGTTAAAAGGCGATACAACTAGATGCTCAGGTTTTTGTTTAATAAATATCTTGCATATATTAGATTATACACTCTTAGGCGTAAGCAGGGGTAGGCGTGTAAGTGGGAGCAGGTTTATAGGAAGGGGCAGGCTTGTAGGCAGGAGCAGGCTTGTAAGCAGGAGCAGGCTTGTAGGCAGGAGTGGGATGGTACTCGGGGTACTGGGCCTCGCCTTCGTAGCTGACCTCAGCCACGTATCCAGAGTCGCTGTTGACAGTGTAAGTGACCTTCTGCAGACGACCGTCGGGAAGGAGAACGAAATAGGCACCCTGTGTGTTATATCCGTCACGGGCTTCTTGGTGGCCGAAGTCGTTTCCAGAGTAGTCGTCCTTAACAGCATAGTTGAAATCGTACTTAGCAGGAGACTAAAAAAGAAAAGAAAGTTACGGTTAGTTTCGAGCTATTAGAAAATATACATTATTAAATCAGATCAAGCAGAACATTCTCATAATACGGGATAGGACCTACGTCATAGGATGCCGGAGGAGAGTAGTCGTAAGAAGGCTGTGAAGGAGCAGCCAAAGCGACGGCCACAAGGGCAAGAACGACGGCGGTCTGGAATACGAGACAAAAGTTAAAATATACTCTGAATGAGATATAGATAAATGCTAAGATAAATAGTTGAGTATATATATATACTAGTCGCATATAATGCCTCATTTAGACTTAGCAACCATAAAGATACACATGTGTGAATAGTGTACTTATTTAGAATTGATTCGCACCTTAGTGAACATGATGAAGATAGATAACCGACTGAGATGCATCAAACGTTGAGTCGTAGCCTTTTATACTGCGTGACTCGCAAACTCTCCTCAGCCACTCCCCTCCCACTGTTCACCTGGCCTTCACCTTGGCGACAGCGAAAGTAGTAAACTCTAATTACCTCTTAAGTGTGAATAAGCAAACTAAAAGGAATTCAATTCATACTTCACAGGCTTATGCAAATCCATTGTCTATGAATATCAATATAAGTATAAATATAGAAATGTAAATGTAAGGACAAGTTAGAAAGCAAACATTTAGACCATGAGGTACATTATCGAAGAATATGAAGCTTATTGTTGAAGGATCTTCTAGGACTTCTCTTACCTTTTTAAGAGAAAACCTACGCGTTGCAGCAGCAGAGAGATCGCCCCAGAGTAGACGGGTGTATTTAATCTGAGTGACGTCCAGACTTTAAGAAAAGCTTCATCTATTTTAGCGTAACGAATGCTATCAGACAAACGTTGACATTCCCAAGGATAAAACGGAACTACATATATGTATATATATATATCATATATATATATATATATGTATATATATATAATAAAGATAATTCTTCTTTAATACCCGACGCAAAAACAGATTTAATAGCGTATGATACGCCATTAGTCGGTTGCATTACACACATACACGCTCACACATATATGTACATATATATTTGTGCGTGCGTGTGTGTATGCCGGTGTATATATATGTATATATACATACATACATATATATATATATATATATATATATATATATATATGTATATATATATAATAAAAAGTAAGGTCTTCCTTCGGACACTAGCATTTTCACTCATAATTTCGATAGTAGAAAATACTGATATTCAATACCGGTACAGTATGCCGGTTTTCGTCACTAAGATGTACATTGGAGTTTTCCTTGCACCATAGCGTATCGTGGTAAGTAAAACGTGGATGAAATTGACACTAAAGTCATAAATCTGACATAACTTTGACAGTAAAACAGTAAACAAAAAAGAATACTGAAAAGACAGACGCTACTTTTCTTATTCGGTCACCTCCCGAAGACATACGTCAATCGCCTCCGCTACCAAGAATCTCACCTTTACTTTGGTGCAATTGAGTCTATGTTGCTTAGTCATATTTTGAATTACGTTTGTCGCATCCGATGTGCACCATATACGAAAACTGATTTTTGATGTGATACATATACGTTTTTGTTTACATATACATATATAATATATATATACACATAGATACAAAGACATATACGTATGTAAGTATATGTATATACACATATATGTGTGTGCGTGCATGTATGCATGAATATATATATTTGCATATATAGATACGTACGTACATACACATAGATATATATATATGAATATATATACATACACATATATATTCAGCACGCACACAGACGGCTAGAGGGTCTGATACTGAACATAGATCCTAGATTATCAGAGACATAGTAATTGCCACTAATATTGGATGTTTGGGCTTGCAATGTCAGCAAAAAAATGAGAATATGAAGCACTAACGGTACATTTTTGATGAGGTTAGGTTCAGATAGGTTAGACACGGCTTCTATTGACTTATGCATACTATGATTACTCCCGCTTATATTCTTCGCCTAATCCCTGGTATATCTAAACAAGCCAATTACACTTCATGGAATGTTACTTCGATAATTTACGTGCATACACAAGCATGCATACTTATGCACACGAACACTGTCCACTCACAACACTGTTATTAGCTAAAAATATGACAGCGAGCACAGCTTTCTAATGTGTTATCAGACCTTATGCGAGTACATCTTTACCTAACTCTGTGGCCTTTCCTACTGTTAAAGGGATTGCATGATATGCAGATTTTGATATACCCGTTAGTCAATTGAGTAATGGCTTATTACAAGGGTGTTCCTTTTCCATTCAGAAATATATAATCTTGTATTTTGTCATTCCTTCTTCATCTTTGAAACCTACACTAACATGATATATAAACATTTGATTATATCAAAGATTTATATGCTGAGATATACACATCATAAAGTCTTATATCTGACCATTGATTAAATGTTCTAATTTCTAGGTAATTGACCAAATTTAGAAAAAAAAAGTTTCTTTCCGTAGATTTTGGTAATTTAAGGACCGAAGGATAATACAACTGAATCCTAGGATTTTTGTTTAATAAATATCTTTAAGACATTAGCAGATTGTACATATTTAAACGTAAGTAGGAGCGGGTTCGTAGGCAGGGGCAGGCTTGTAGGCAGGAGCAGGCTTGTAGGCTGGAGCAGGATGGTACTCGGGGTACTGGGCCTCACCCTCGTAGCTGACCTCAGCCACGTAGCCAGAGTCGCCGTTGACAGTGTAGGTGACCCTCTGCAGACGACCGTCGGGAAGCAGGACGAAGTAGGAACCCTGAGTGTTGTATCCGTCGCGTGCTTCCTGGTGACCGAAGTCGTTTCCGGAGTAGTCGTCCTTGACAGCGTAGTTGAAGTCGTACTTAGCTGGAGACTGAGAAAAAATCATTTATTTTGGAATTGAAAATATGAGAAGTGACATATTGATTTAACATTTATAAGTAGAAAATCCTCAAAATGTGGGATATTGCTTACGTCATAAGTTGCAGGAGGAGAGTAATCGTAAGAAGGCTGTGAAGGAGCAGCCAAAGCGACGGCCACAAGCCAAGTGAGAGCGACGGCGGTCTGAAATGCGAGATGAAATGTCAAATTTACAGAAATGAGGTATTGATGAACGCCAAGTTAGATAAAAACACTGCGAGCGAGAAGTGATATTCTTCGCCTAATCCCTGGTATATCTAAACAAGCCAATTACACTTCATGGAATGTTACTTCGATAATTTACGTGCATACACAAGCATGCATACTTATGCACACGAACACTGTCCACTCACAACACTGTTATTAGCTAAAAATATGACAGCGAGCACAGCTTTCTAATATGTTATCAGACCTTATGCGGGTACATCTTTACCTAACTCTGTGGCCTTTCCTACTGTTAAAGGGATTGCATGATATGCAGATTTTGATATACCCGTTAGTCAATTGAGTAATGGCTTATTACAAGGGTGTTCCTTTTCCATTCAGAAATATATAATCTTGTATTTTGTCATTCCTTCTTCATCTTTGAAACCTACACTAACATGATATATAAACATTTGATTATATCAAAGATTTATATGCTGAGATATACACATCATAAAGTCTTATATCTGACCATTGATTAAATGTTCTAATTTCTAGGTAATTGACCAAATTTAGAAAAAAAAGTTTCTTTCCGTAGATTTTGGTAATTTAAGGACCGAAGGATAATACAACTGAATCCTAGGATTTTTGTTTAATAAATATCTTTAAGACATTAGCAGATTGTACATATTTAAACGTAAGTAGGAGCGGGTTCGTAGGCAGGGGCAGGCTTGTAGGCAGGAGCAGGCTTGTAGGCTGGAGCAGGATGGTACTCGGGGTACTGGGCCTCACCCTCGTAGCTGACCTCAGCCACGTAGCCAGAGTCGCCGTTGACAGTGTAGGTGACCCTCTGCAGACGACCGTCGGGAAGCAGGACGAAGTAGGAACCCTGAGTGTTGTATCCGTCGCGTGCTTCCTGGTGACCGAAGTCGTTTCCGGAGTAGTCGTCCTTGACAGCGTAGTTGAAGTCGTACTTAGCTGGAGACTGAGAAAAAATCATTTATTTTGGAATTGAAAATATGAGAAGTGACATATTGATTTAACATTTATAAGTAGAAAATCCTCAAAATGTGGGATATTGCTTACGTCATAAGTTGCAGGAGGAGAGTAATCGTAAGAAGGCTGTGAAGGAGCAGCCAAAGCGACGGCCACAAGCCAAGTGAGAGCGACGGCGGTCTGAAATGCGAGATGAAATGTCAAATTTACAGAAATGAGGTATTGATGAACGCCAAGTTAGATAAAAACACGGCGAGCGAGAAGTGAAGAGAACGACTGAACAAGATGTTGAGAAGTACGGATTAACATGTGTGAATATTCAGTGTATAAGTAAATAGGTATATACATACACGTATATACATACAGTATGTATATGTGTGCTTATATCTATATATGTATATGCTTATCTATATCTATAGCTATCTATATATCTATCTATCTATATATATGAATATAGTGCAATTATTTAGACTATTCGCACCTTAGCGAACATGATGAAGATAGATGATCGACTGAGATGCATCAGACGTCGAGCCGTTGCCTTTTATACTGCGTGACTCTCGTAAACTCTCCTCAGCCACTCCCATTCCCACTGTCCAGCCGACCCTCACCTTGGCGACGGCGAAAGTAAGTAGTATACTGTAATTACTCCTGAAAGAACTGTTAGTGTAAGTGTTTAATATTTTCTGAAAGATTAGTTGTTATTAGCTTTTAACTGGATGTTGAATTAAATGAGCGAACATTTTATCGATAAATCATTGAGAAATATATATTGTATATAAAAACTCACAAAATTGTTTATACACATTTAGTGTATATGTATATATGTATTTATGTATACACACAAACACACACACACATATATATACTAAGTATTTATATATATTGTATATACTGTGTGTGTGTGTGTGTATGTGTCTGTGTGTATGTATATATATCTATGTATGAATATATTTATAAACACACACATACATATCCGCAGTACACACACATACACATGTACATATATATGTATATATGCACGCACATATATATATATATATATATATATATATATATATATATATATGTATATATATATATATTCATCTACCTAACTATAGCTATATGTATGTATGTATGTATGTATCTATATATATATATAAACACTTATATGATGAATAGCAAGGTTCGAATAATATAATCTTGTAATCCCGTACCTGAAAAACAGGTATTCCTCCCTAATATGTGCGTTGAATTTTCTTTACGCCAAAGTTGGTGAGTATCGGATGTGTTGTAAAGGAGCACCTGCGACCGTCACAAGGATATCACAATGGTTTTAAGTAAACGCTACTGAAACATTTGTGTTAAAAGCAAAGAAAAATTATAGTATATCTCTGAGTGATTTTGACTTGTAAAACAGAGAATAAAGGAACAATAATACACAGAAGGTAATTTTCTTATTCGGGTACCTTCCTCCTGTTAACCGCACCCGCTACCAAGTACCGCCCAGCCTTTCCCTTGGTATGGGTGAACGTAAACAGCTTAATTAGTCATATTACGAGTGGGCAAAATGAATGATGAGGTCTTTGAATTACGTTTACCGTTATTTCGCTCCATGTAATAATAGTACGCCTATTATTACGGTGGTTTTCAGCGTGATGTTTTTGCCTGAATGTGCACTAGCTCAAATACACGTATGCATGTATAAGTTGAACTTACATACACACACACACACACACACACACAGACATACACACATATATATTTATATATAAATAAATGCATATATACATGTGTATATATATATATATATATATATATATATATATATATATATATGATATATGTGTGTGTGTGTATATATATGTATATAACATATAAATGCACATATATGGAGAAATACATTATATATATATATATATATATATATATATATATATGCATAAACACACACACATATATATTTATATTTGTGTATTTTACTTAGGGAGTATACCTTAAAGCGGTTATGTATATATTTGTAAATATGTATATATAAAACACACACACATGTTAGTGTGTGTGTTTGTATATTTTACTCCAGGAGTATACCCAACACAGTCGGTATACTGAATAGGTTAAACCGTAAAGACTAATTAGTAGCTTCCCCCTCCTCTCCTGCTAACATAAACCTGACCAGTAGGTGCTAGAAATGTCAGCCGTTTTTCCTTCTATACATGAATTACCTGCTGAAGGAGGATGCAATGGCTGGAAGAGTAGCGTTGCATGTTGCTTTTACTAAGGACATACTATGTAGGTTCAACCGTGTTAAAAGGATAAATTAGTAGCGTCCCGACTAAATTCCCCCCCCCCCCCCCCCCAACACGATACACCTCAGTTGGGAGCGGATCTTTTCTTGCTGTGGAATAATAAGGGCTGGTGCTTATACTGTAAATAGATAATCTAATTAATAAGTTCAATTTTTGTAAGTATGTAGACACACACACACACACACATATACATACGTACATACACACTTCTAAACATCTCAATTACACTTCTCAAAATAGTACTTCGATAGAAAGCATGTACGCACCTACACTTATATACATCCACAGACGAGAGCACGAATACTTTCCACTCACAACTCTGTTTTGAGACAAAAATATGACTTCTGAATGGCTTAAGATGCTCTAGTAAATTTCTTTATGCACGTACACCTTCACCAGTGTTTGTAGTCGTTCCTTCTGTTAAGGATGATTAAATGTCGTGTAAAACATCTAACCATAATCCGTGCCCAATACCCAACGTGAAATCATTATATCTGTATATCATTTGCATAATGGCTCTTTGCAAAGGTGTCCATTTCCGACTCGGAAATACATGGTTTTGTATTTTGTTTCGCCATCCTTGAATTCTACTATGGCACGGTTACATGCAGTTTATAATACATTCACGGATTTATAAACATGCATGTAAGCATTTGTGCGATCACAAGTTTCATTTAAACATTTATGCAGTTTTCATTGTTTGTACATACACACACGCACACACGCGCATACCTATGTGTGTACATATATAGACGTACATACATATATATACACATACACATACACACACATATAAACATGGGGGGGGAGGGTTGACAGGTGATACCGTAGAATTACTGTTTAATAAATGTCATGGATATATTCAAAGATTATAAACATTTAGGTGTGTGAAGGAAAGGGTTTACAGGTAGGGGCAGCGTTGTAGGCAGGAGCAGGCTTGAAGACAGGAAGGCAGGATGGTACTCGGGTACTGGGCTTCACCCTCGTAGCTGACTTCAGCTATGTAGCCAGAGTCGCCGTTTACAGTAGAGGTGACCCTCTACAGACGACCGTCGGGAGGGACGACGAAGTAGGAACCCTGGGTGTTGTATTCGTCGCGTGCTTCCTGGTGGCCAAAGTCGTTTTCAAGGTAGCCGTCCTTGACAGCGTAGTTGAAGTCCTACTTAGCAGGAGTCTTAGAAATGGTAGAATTAGTTGGTCATATAAACAATAGGAAATTCTATATTAAACACTGACTAAGCAGATACAAGTACAAAATCTTTAGAAGTAGGCTATTGTTACATCATAAGTTGCCGGAGGAGAGTAATCGTAAGAAGGCTGTGAAGAGCAGCCGACGGTCACAAGGGCGAGAGCGACGGCGGTTCTGAAATACGGGAAAATATTAAATATATAGTGGATACGAATACTTTCCACTCACAACTCTGTTTTGAGACAAAAATATGACTTCTGAATGGCTTACGATGCTCTAGTAAATTTCTTTATGCACGTACACCTTCACCAGTGTTTGTAGTCGTTCCTTCTGTTAAGGATGATTAAATGTCGTGTAAAACATCTAACCATAATCCGTGCCCAATACCCAACGTGAAATCATTATATCTGTATATCATTTGCATAATGGCTCTTTGCAAAGGTGTCCATTTCCGACTCGGAAATACATGGTTTTGTATTTTGTTTCGCCATCCTTGAATTCTACTATGGCACGGTTACATGCAGTTTATAATACATTCACGGATTTATAAACATGCATGTAAGCATTTGTGCGATCACAAGTTTCATTTAAACATTTATGCAGTTTTCATTGTTTGTACATACACACACGCACACACGCATACCTATGTGTGTACATATATAGACGTACATACATACATATATATACACACACATACACACACATATAAACATGGGGGGGGGAGGGTTGACAGGTGATACTGTAGAATTACTGTTTAATAAATGTCATGGATATATTCAAAGATTATAAACATTTAGGTGTATGAAGGAACGGGTTTACAGGTAGGGGCAGGGTTGTAGGCAGGAGCAGGCTTGAAGACAGGAAGGCAGGATGGTACTCGGGTACTGGGCTTCACCCTCGTAGCTGACTTCAGCTATGTAGCCAGAGTCGCCGTTTACAGTAGAGGTGACCCTCTACAGACGACCGTCGGGAGGGACGACGAAGTAGGAACCCTGGGTGTTGTATTCGTCGCGTGCTTCCTGGTGGCCAAAGTCGTTTTCAAGGTAGCCGTCCTTGACAGCGTAGTTGAAGTCCTACTTAGCAGGAGTCTTAGAAATGGTAGAATTAGTTGGTCATATAAACAATAGGAAATTCTATATTAAACACTGACTAAGCAGATACAAGTACAAAATCTTTAGAAAGTAGGCTATTGCTTACATCATAAGTTGCCGGAGGAGAGTAATCGTAAGAAGGCTGTGAAGGAGCAGCCGACGGTCACAAGGGCGAGAGCGACGGCGGTCTGAAATACGGGAAAATATTAAATATATAGTGGATACACACGCATACATATGTATTTGTGTGTGTGTGTGTGAACGTATGCGTATGTTTATATAATGTTCTAACTTAGACTCGAATCCTACCTTGGAAAACATGTTGAAAATAGACAGATCGACTGAGATGCATCAGAATGTCGAGCCGTTATAATGCGTGACTCTCGTAAACTCTCCTCGACCACTCCCTTTTCCACTGACCAGCCGACCTCTCACTTTGGCGACAGCGAAAGTAAATAGCATACTTTAAATACCTATGAATGAAATGTGAGTTCGTATTGCTGTATGTCGGTCTCTGAGATATTACTTTCTTGTTGTTTCCTTATGGTATAACGCTGGCTAGAACTGACAAATAAAACTGCATTTCAGCAACATCACAGGATGGGTATACCGAAAAGAGCAATGGAAATATAGATGGTATAAAAATAAAGAATTGCTAAGTTTAAGAACCAACCCTCAATCCTCGGCAGGACCTGCAGTCAAGTCTTTCTATCCGTACTCCATGGACTTCCCGATTTCGATGATCCAAATGATAGTGTCAAGTTATACCTGGTATTTCTGCTCTTAAGTTGTATCTCCAAGAAACTTTCTTGGCCTACCAGAAACCACTAAAATGTGTTAGAATATACGAAATATCAGGTGCGTCTCTCCAAAAGACAAGGAATAATTCATATATGGTAATAATTGAAGGAAGACAGAATAAAGTTTTAGCCAAAACTCCCGAAGATTGGACAATTGAGAGTTTCAAGATTTAGTCTGTAAGTGTTTCAGATTTTATTTTTACAATTTCTTATTTCAGATTATATTTATTTGATGATTCATTATTACATATACCAAATGACAACAGAAATTTGTTAGAAAGTAGAAGGCAAGAAGGATCGTCATAGGGCATTAGGAATCAGATGAATGATTATATATGTACAAACAAAAGAATATATATATGCTCTCTCTCTTTATGTACATATATATATATATATATACATTTATATACTTATAAGCATATATATACATATATGCAAAATCATGAACCTAATACACCAACCACCTTAAGATATAACTGATAAAAAATCATTCAACGCGATGTAAGTAGTTTTGAATAGTGTGAATTAACTGATAAATCTTCATCGCGACTATTTGAAATCGGAACTCCGAAACATACTTTTAATTCACCAAGGAGGTTAGTAGCTTGATCCGCATGTAATATGATAAAATGCACACACATACAAACATTCGCTCTCACACACACATTATGGATAAATTAAATTAACAAATCTATTTTCTTCAATTGTTAGATGTGACATCAACTATTGTACCAGGCAAGGAAAGAGCCATTTGGACGCATAAAAGAGCCAAGCACACATTAAGGTGATTATATATAGCATTAATGTATCATCATATTATGGATAACGTATCTTGCTGCTGAATAGCTGGGGTTGATTACATAAATAAAGTACAGTGTGTTCCCAAATAAGAGAAAGAGAGAGAGAAAAAAAAATGATTATAAGAGTAGCCACGTTACAGGGAGAGTGATGCACGAATACTGACAAATTCGCAAATTTCTTGCTCTTGCTACAATATAGCGGATTCATCTATTGAATAGATATTGCATATAGCTGAATTAGGTATCTATGAAGTTGATGTATCTATTGACTGAAGGAAAAACAGTCTTTAACAGGCTTGTTTTCTGCTTACCATAGAGCCAATAAAAAACGACTCAAGGTCCGGGTTTATTGGATAGCTTTGGCTTATTGGATGTAGTTGAGAAAACAGGCGGTTCTGCAATAGGCTTATTTGGCATCAAGAAACATGTCAAATAGTTTGATTCCGTCTCGAATATATTATATTCCACACATATGTATGAATACATATACAAATAAATATATATATATTCATAACATATGCACATTTTTGATACATATACAAACATGTATGTAAAGATGGATGAACAGTGAAATCAAGATGTGGTATGTATCGTACCGTTTTGGAATACTTGGATATTAGTATTTGGCAATATTATTTTCGTACAGAGCTACCTTCAACTTCCTATTCTGAAGGATAAACTATAGAAACAACTGGTGATAGTCTTCGTTTAATAAATATTTACTGTAAATATATTCATTTTTGTTTAACTTAGGCGTATGTAGGTTCAGGCTTGTAGGCAGGGGCTGGCTTGTAAGCGGGGGCGGGCTTGTAGGCAGGAGCAGGCTTGTAGGCAGGAGCAGGCTTGTACTCGGGGTACTGGGCTTCACCCTCGTAGCTGACCTCCGCCACGTAACCAGAGTCGCCATTGACAGTGTAAGCGACCTTCTGCAGACGACCGTCGGGAAGGAGGACGTAATAGGATCCCTGGGTATTGTATCCGTCACGGGCCTCCTGGTGACCGAAGTCGTTTCCGGAGTAGTCGTCCTTCACGGCGTAGTTGAAGTCGTACTTAGCGGGAGCCTAAAAAAAGTCAAATTAATATGCGCCGAATAGAACCAATAATATACAGTTCACGTATAGGACAAGACAGAAAGTTCTTGATATATACTAATTGAGCTTACATCATAGGTTGCCGGAGGAGCATATCCATAGGAAGGCTGTGAAGGAGCAGCCAGAGTGACGGCCACGAGGGCGAAAGCGACGATGGCCTGAAACATGAATTTAACAATGAAATATTTCATTTATCAATCTATCTATACATGCGCATACATATACATATGTGTGTACATATATATATATACTTACATGTGTGTATATATTTATGTATATAAAGATGCTGACATGTATAAATAAATGGAATAAAATCATCAACAAACTCCTGCAATTTAACAAAACGACTATAATAAAGTTTATCTCACCTTAGTGAACATGATGAAGAGGATGGACCAAATGTGATGCTTCGAACTAGGATCAGGTGTCTTTTATACTCCGTATCTCTCAGAGACACGCCCCCTAGCCCCTCCCTCTCCCCATGTTACCTACCTTAACCTTGATATGGGTGAAGGTAAAGAGTCGAGGTGTGATTGAGGGTGATTTGGACAAAATTCGTTTGACGAGGTAACACTGAGAAGTAGAAATTAGAAAGGAAATGTTTATGTCTATGACAAAGAAGTCCATAACTATAAATGAGCACACATATGTATATGCATATATATGTATATATGTGTGTGCGTTTGTGTGCAGACTTGCATATATATGTACTGTATAAGTATGTGTGTATACCTGTACGTGTATTTGTGTGCGAAATGGACTATATACATAATGAGTGAGTAGACTAATCCTAAAAGTGTAGCCATTAAAATCGGTAAAAACGATCAGATGTGTAGTGGGAAAGGTTAATACATACATGAATTTACATGCTGTGTACACACGGTTACGCAAGCACACGCATAGAGATGTAAAATTAGATATGTATATATCTATATGCACCCAAATTGCATATATATATATACACACACAAACACACACACACATACACACACACACACGCATATGTATGTGTGTAATATATATGTATATACATATATATATACCATGCATATATGTGCATACATACACATATATATGTGTATGTGCACACATATATATGTGTATATGCACACACACACACATATATATGTGTGTATGTGCACACACATATATATGTGTGTATGTGCACACACATATATATATGTGCATGTGCACACACATATATATGTGTATGTGCACACACATATATGTGTATGTGCACACATATATATGTGTATGTGTACACACACCCACCAATATGTATATATACATTCATATATACATATGTATGAATATGCAAACACACAGGCACATATATGTATATGTATGTATACACACATATACACATCTGTATATATACATACATACACGCATATATATATATACCTATATATGTATATATATGTATACACATATGTATAAATACATATTTATACAACACACACACATATACATAGTTACATGCATATACATACATACACAGGCATATGAACATACGATTGTGTTTATGGATCTATGTAGATGTATACAGATGGATAGATAAATGAAAAAAAAAAAAAAAAATAGACAGGTAGCCAGAGATAGGGAAGGAGAGGGAGGGAATGGGACATAGAAAAAAAACGAGAAACAATTTGACAAGGGCCTTTATTTATTTTTTTTTCCAACATAGGGACATTTCAGTAGCTTTATCTATGCAGTTAAGCTTAAAGATATGATTATGTATGGGAGCAGCCATGAACCCATGAATTTTGAAAATTCTGACTACAATGGCCGGGCCACAGAATTTGATATCCACGTCCGTTTTACTTAATATAAATTGCATCGCCTGCGTGAAACGATTCTCATCCGCTGAATACTGATAGATCCATAATTAACTGTGATACTTGAGAAGCATGGGCATATTTTCAACTTCAAATATCTTGAATGAAATGGTTCTGCCTCTCATACTTTAATTGCGATTATCATGACCAGAACTTAAGAAGAGAATTCACGACAATGACATATCCGTGTATGTGGGTAAGGTAGTTTTGATGTTGAATTGAATGCAACTTAATGATGATAATCATGATAATATTAATGATAATACTAACAAGGAATTTTGGCATAACTGATGTGTGTCCAAGAGTGCCAATTGGCAAAATACACGCGGAGACAAACTTGCCGGCGGAAAGTCATAGAGGACCGTACGTATTTCCTCGTGCGCACACTTCACTGAGGACAAATATAGTACTATGTATATAGCTAATGTTATAAACAGCTTTTGAAGTTGCTTCAAACAACTCACAATATTTGTTAGAGCACTGGAAGATGGAATCAATATGAAAATTATTAAGTTCACATCTGTACGTACAGATGTTTCTGCTATGCTGAATTTAACATTTTTTTCGCTTTTGCTTTTACTTAGAAGCCTCTAGGCACATATAGCAGCAATTTGTAAGTTTAAGAATTCAGAAGCCAATTTAAACAGTTTGTTTGCAAACTACTTCACTATTTGTGAATGATGAGCTTCTTGTATTTGCAGTGTCATTGGCAGTTCATAAAATCGCCCATTACACATGCCCAAATTCCTCTTACAGGGCAATGAAGGTGGCTGATTATTACTTCACAACTGTATTTGAAATCAATTGTTTAGATAATATATATATATAACTTCGCAATCTTTTGGGATAGGTAATACAAATGAATGGTGATAGAATTTTCGTTTAATTAATAAATAGTCATCAAATGTATATTCAAGTTTGTTTCATTTAAGCATAGGCAGGAGCAGGGTTGTAAGCAGGGGCGGGCTTGTAAGCAGGGGCGGGCTTGTAAGCAGGGGCGGGCTTGTAGGCAGGAGCAGGCTTGTACTCGGGATATTGAGCCTCACCCTCGTAGCTGACCTCAGCCACGTAGCCAGAGTCGCCGTTGACAGTGTAGGCGACCTTCTGCAGGCGGCCGTCGGGAAGGAGAACGAAGTAGGAACCCTGAGTATCGTAACCGTCGCGAGATTCCTGGTGACCGAAGTCGTTGCCGGAGTAGTCGTCCTTCACTGCATAGTTGAAGTCGTACTTGGCAGGAGCCTAAAGAAAGGTGAAAATAATATGTATCATATATGAACATTAAAAACGATTTGTATCTTGATGAAATGTATGTATAAAATTATCGGTAGAGGAATTTTTTCCTTACATCGTAGGTTGCGGGAGGAGCATATCCGTAGGAAGGTTGTGAAGGAGCAGCCAAAGTTACGGCCACAAGGGCGAGAGCGATGACGGTCTGAAATTAGGTACAAACTTTAAAAGTTCTGAAAAGAATTACTAATGCACCCGCACACATGCATACGTGTGTGTGTATGTGTCAGCTATTATATTAGACTTTGGGCGGTAAACATTATGCAGTATGAAAATGATAAGGGATCCTCACCTTAGTGGACATGATGGTGAAGGAAGATCGAGTGTGATACAATGAGATCGATCTGTTGGCTTTTATACTCCCTGACTGAAAAGGACACGCCCTCCGCCCCTCCCTTTCCCTTCTCTAACCAACCTTTACCTTGGTAGGGGAAGACGCAAGTAGTTTCCGTTGTTCGAAAGGAGAATGATTGTCTTTATTGAATATCTAATCAGTACGTGATTTTAACTTTACCTTATTTTCTGACTCTCTCACACACAGATACATGTGTGTAAATATATAAATTACGATATATAAAGAGAATCTTTTACAGCAGTGGTTATTTTTGTTTATTGTAGTTTTGTTTTCTTTGCAAGTAGAACTGACACAGCAAACTAATATTGTCTTCACAACATACCATATAAGCTGTTTATATCAGACAGCAACAAGAAGCACAGTGGCTTATCATGGGCCAGTTACCATAGTGTTATTGGTCCGACGCATGGCCAACATCATATTGAGCCAGAATGGATCCTCACAGATTCAATGCTTGGATTCCACAAACAACCTGCATTTTATGGAAGTTCAATGCCAGAAGAATATCAGTGATATTTTTCTATAGCCGGCCGAAAGCAGAACAGAATGAAATGCATGATCTTAAATAAAGACCAGCTTCTTATGACCACTATGTATAGTCGCAATTATGTAAACATCAATTTTCCAGTGTTGACTTTAGATTGGGCATTGAAAGTAATGCAGAATTTAAGTCTATTTTTTCATAAAGATTCTGATTATTCTCCCTCTTGTAGCTGCACTTTTTAAATTTTTCGTTCCTAAATCAGCTTACAGGTCAATGATCACAAAGGTTTTTTTCATTTGCAAACGTTGGATGTTCAAGGTTAAAATATGAGAATATCACACTTAATTTTAAACCCTCAAAAAATGATTTCCTCCCTCCGTACGGTGTCTTATCTCTAAACACACAGTTACAACAAAATATTATGGCTTTTTAAATGTTAATCAAATGTTTATTTGGTATAAATTAAATTGCGTGACTGAAGCGATTCTGATCCGCTGAGTATTGCTAGATCCAAAATTGATGAGTAATTGTATACTTGAGAACCATGGGCATATTTCCAACTACAAAATATCTTCAATATTTTCATTATATTTATCATGGCCAGTACTTATGAAGAGAATTCGCGGCAATGACTTACCAATGACATCAGTATATTTGAGTAGTGTGGTTGAGATACTGAAATAAATGCTGCTTAAAGATAATGATAATCATGGTTATAATAATGATACTAAAAGGGAAATTTCGTATAGCTAATGTGTGCCGAAGAGACGTAAACGGCAATACACATGCGGAGACGAACTTGCCGGCGGAAAGTCGTTTAGGAGCGTACGCAACTCAAGTTCATGGTGGTTCCTTCACATCTCATTGAGTATAGCCACAGTATTGTGTATATAGCCAATGTCATATACAATTTTTGAAGTTACTTCAGACAGCTCACCATACAGCTAAATTAAATAGCATACTTTAAATACCTATGAATGAAATGTGAGTTCGTATTGCTGTATGTCGGTCTCTGAGATATTACTGTCTTGTTTCCTTATGGTATAACGCTGGCTAGAACTGACAAATAAAACTGCATTTCAGCAACACCACAGGATGGGTATACCGAAAAGAGCAATGGAAATATAGATGGTATAAAAATAAAGAATTGCTAAGTTTAAGAACCAACCCTCAATCCTCGGCAGGACCTGCAGTCAAGTCTTTCTATCCGCACTCCATGGACTTCCCGATTTCGATGATCCAAATGATAGTGTCAAGTTATACCTGGTATTTCTGCTCTTAAGTTGTATCTCCAAGAAACTTACTTGGCCTACCAGAAACCACTAAAATGTGTTAGAATATATGAAATATCAGGTGTGTCTCTCCAAAAGACAAGGAATAATTCATATATGGTAATAATTGAAGGAAGACAGAATAAAGTTTTAGCCAAAACTCCCGAAGATTGGACAATTGAGAGTTTCAAGATTTAGTCTGTAAGTGTTTCAGATTTTATTTTTACAATTTCTTATTTCAGATTATATTTATTTGATGATTCATTATTACATATACCAAGTGACAACAGAAATTTGTTGGAAAGTAGAAGGCAAGAAGGATCGTCATAGGGCATTAGGAATCAGATGAATGATTATATATGTACAAACAAAAGTATATATATATGCTCTCTCTCTTTATGTACATATACATATATATATACATACATATATATACTTATAAGTATATATATACATATATGCAAAATCATGAAACTAATACACCAACCACCTTAAGATATAACTGATAAAAAAATCATTCAACGCGATATAAGTAGTTTTGAATAGTTGTGTGAATTAACTGGTAAATCTTCATCGTGACTATTTGAAATCGGAACTCCGAAACATACTTTTAATTCACCAAGAAGGTTAGTAGCTTGATCCGTATGTAATATGATAAAATGCACACACATACAAACATACGCTCACACACACACATTATGGATAAATTAAATTAACAAATCTATTTTTTCTATTGTTAGATGTGACATCAACTAATTCGAGATTGTACCAGGCAAGGAAAGAGTCATTTGGACGCATAAAAGAGCCAAGCACACATTAAGGTGAATATATATAGCATTGATGTATCATCATATTATGGATAGCATATCTTCCTGAATAGCTGGGGTTGATTACATAAATAAAGTACAGTGTGTTCCCAAATAAGAGAAAGAGAGAGAAAAAAAAAATGATTATAAGAGTAGCAACGTTACAGGGAGAGTGATGCACGAATACTGACAAATTCGCAAATTTCTTGCTCTTGCTACAATATAGCGGATTCATCTATTGAATAGATATTGCATATAGCTGAATTAGGTATCTATGAAGTTGATGTATCTATTGACTGAAGGAAAAACAGTCTTTAACAGGCTTGTTTTCTGCTTACCATAGAGCCAATAAAAAACGACTCAAGGTCCGGGTTTATTGGATAGCTTTGGCTTATTGGATGTAGTTGATAAAACAGGCGGTTCTACAATAGGCTTATTTGGCATCAAGAAACATGTCAAATAGTTTGATTCCGTCTCGAATATATTATATTTCACACATATGTATGGATACATATGCAAATAAATATATATATATTCATAACATATGCAAATTTTTGATACATATACAAACATGTATGTAAAGATGGATGAACAGTGAAATCAAGATGTGGTATGTATCGTACCATTTTAGAATACTTGGATATTAGTATTTGACAATATTATTTTCGTACAGAGCTAGCTTCAACTTCCTATTCTGAAGGATAAACTATAGAAACACCTGGTGATAGTCTTCGTTTAATAAATATTTACTGTAAATATATTCATTTTTGTTTAACTTAGGCGTATGTAGGTTCAGGCTTGTAGGCAGGGGCTGGCTTGTAAGCGGGGGCGGGCTTGTAGGCAGGAGCAGGCTTGTAGGCAGGAGCAGGCTTGTACTCGGGGTACTGGGCTTCACCCTCGTAGCTGACCTCCGCCACGTAACCAGAGTCGCCATTGACAGTGTAAGCGACCTTCTGCAGACGACCGTCGGGAAGGAGGACGTAATAGGATCCCTGGGTATTGTATCCGTCACGGGCCTCCTGGTGACCGAAGTCGTTTCCGGAGTAGTCGTCCTTCACGGCGTAGTTGAAGTCGTACTTAGCGGGAGCCTAAAAAAAGTCAAATTAATATGCGCCGAATAGAACCAATAATATACAGTTCACGTATAGGACAAGACAGAAAGTTCTTGATATATACTAATTGAGCTTACATCATAGGTTGCCGGAGGAGCATATCCATAGGAAGGCTGTGAAGGAGCAGCCAGAGTGACGGCCACAAGGGCGAGAGCGACGACGGCCTGAAACATGAATTTAACAATGAAATATTTCATTTATCAATCTATCTATACATGCACATACATATACATATGTGTGTACATATATATATACTTACATGTGTGTATATATTTATGTATATAAAGATGCTGACATGTATAAATAAATGGAATAAAATCATCAACAAACTCCTGCAATTTAACAAAACGACTGTAATAAAGTTTATCTCACCTTAGTGAACATGATGAAGAGGATGGACCAAATGTGATGCTTCGAACTAGGATCAGGTGTCTTTTATACTCCGTGTCTCTCAGAGACACGCCCCCTAGCCCCTCCCTCTCCCCATGTTACCTACCTTAACCTTGATATGGGTGAAGGTAAAGAGTCGAGGTGTGATTGAGGGTGATTTTGACAAAATTCGTTTGACGAGGTAACACTGAGAAGTAGAAATTAGAAAGGAAATGTTTATGTCTATGACAAAGAAGTCCATAACTATAAATGAGCACACATATGTATATGCATATATATGTATATATGTGTGTGCGTTTGTGTGCAGACTTGCATATATATGTACTGTATAAGTATGTGTGTATTCCTGTGCGTGTATTTGTGTGCAAAATGAACCATATACATAATGAGTGAGTAGACTAATCCTAAAAGTGTAGTCATTAAAATCGGTAAAAACGATCATATGTGTAGTGGGAAAAGTTAATACATACATGAATTTACATGCTATGTACACGCAAGCACACGCATAGAGATGTAAAATTAGATATGTATATATCTATATGCACCCAAATTGCATATATATATACATACACACACACACACGCATATGTATGTGTGTAATATATATGTATATACATATATATACCATGCATATATGTGCACACACATACACATATATATGTGTGTATGTGCACACACACATATATATGTGTATATGCACACACACACATATATGTGTGTATGTGCACACACATATATGTGTGTATGTGCACACACATATATATGTGTGTATGTGCACACACATATATATGTGTGCATGTGCACACACATATATGTGTGTATGTGCACACACATATATGTGTGTGTGTACACGCACCCACCAATATGTATATATACATTCATATATACATATGTATGAATATGCATACACATAGGTACATATATGTATATGTATGTATACACACATATACACATCTGTATATATACATACACACACATATATATGATATATATACCTATATATGTATATATATGTATACACATATGTATAAATACATATTTATACAACACATACACATATACATAGTTACATGCATATACATACATACACTGGCATATGAACATACGATTGTGTTTATGGATCTATGTAGATGTATACAGATGGATAGATAGATGAAAAAAAAAAAAAAAGAATAGACAGGTAGCCAGAGATAGGGAAGGAGAGGGAGGGAATGGGACATAGAAAGAAACGAGAAACAATTTGACAAGGGCCTTTATTTATTTATTTTTTTCTAACATAGGGACATTTCAGTAGCTTTATCTATGCAGTTAAGCTTAAAGATATGATTATGTATGGGAGCAGCCATGAACCCATGAATTTTGAAAATTCTGACTACAATGGCCGGGCCACAGAATTTGATATCCACGTCCGTTTTACTTAATATAAATTGCATCGCCTGCGTGAAACGATTCTCATCCGCTGAATACTGATAGATCCATAATTAACTGTGATACTTGAGAAGCATGGGCATATTTTCAACTTCAAATATCTTGAATGAAATGGTTCTGCCTCTCATACTTTAATTGCGATTATCATGACCAGAACTTAAGAAGAGAATTCACGACAATGACATATCCGTGTATGTGGGTAAGGTAGTTTTGATGTTGAATTGAATGCAACTTAATGATGATAATCATGATAATATTAATGATAATACTAACAAGGAATTTTGGCATAACTGATGTGTGTCCAAGAGTGCCAATTGGCAAAATACACGCGGAGACAAACTTGCCGGCGGAAAGTCATAGAGGACCGTACGTATTTCCTCGTGCGCACATTTCACTGAGGACAAATATAGTACTATGTATATAGCTAATGTTATAAACAGCTTTTGAAGTTGCTTCAAACAACTCACAATATTTGTTAGAGCACTGGAAGATGGAATCAATATGAAATTATTAAGTTCACATCTGTACGTACAGATGTTTCTGCTATGCTGAATTTAACATTTTTTTCGCTTTTGCTTTTACTTAGAAGCCTCTAGGCACATATAGCAGCAATTTGTAAGTTTAAGAATTCAGAAGCCAATTTAAACAGTTTGTTTGCAAACTACTTCACTATTTGTGAATGATGAGCTTCTTGTATTTGCAGTGTCATTGGCAGTTCATAAAATCGCCCATTACACATGCCCAAATTCCTCTTACAGGGCAATGAAGGTGGCTGATTATTACTTCACAACTGTATTTGAAATCAATTGTTTAGATAATATATATATATAACTTCGCAAGGTTTTGGGATAGGTAATACAAATGAATGGTGATAAAATTTTCGTTTAATCAATAAATAGTCATCAAATGTATATTCAAGTTTGTTTCATTTAAGCATAGGCAGGAGCAGGGTTGTAAGCAGGGGCGGGCTTGTAAGCAGGGGCGGGCTTGTAAGCAGGGGCGGGCTTGTGAGCAGGGGCGGGCTTGTAGGCAGGAGCAGGCTTGTACTCGGGATATTGAGCCTCACCCTCGTAGCTGACCTCAGCCACGTAGCCAGAGTCGCCGTTGACAGTGTAGGCGACCTTCTGCAGGCGGCCGTCGGGAAGGAGAACGAAGTAGGAACCCTGAGTATCGTAACCGTCGCGAGATTCCTGGTGACCGAAGTCGTTGCCGGAGTAGTCGTCCTTCACTGCATAGTTGAAGTCGTACTTGGCAGGAGCCTAAAGAAAGGTGAAAATAATATGTATCATATATGAACATTAAAAACGATTTGTATCTTGATGAAATATATGTATAAAATTATCGGTAGAGGAATTTTTTCCTTACATCGTAGGTTGCGGGAGGAGCATATCCGTAGGAAGGTTGTGAAGGAGCAGCCAAAGTTACGGCCACAAGGGCGAGAGCGATGACGGTCTGAAATTAGGTACAAACTTTAAAGTTCTGAAAAGAATTACTAATGCACCCGCACACATGCATACGTGTGTGTGTATGTGTCAGCTATTATATTAGACTTTGGGCGGTAAACATTATGCAGTATGAAAATGATAAGGGATCCTCACCTTAGTGGACATGATGGTGAAGGAAGATCGAGTGTGATACAATGAGATCGATCTGTTGGCTTTTATACTCCCTGACTGAAAAGGACACGCCCTCCGCCCCTCCCTTTCCCTTCTCTAACCAACCTTTACCTTGGTAGGGGAAGACGCAAGTAGTTTCCGTTGTTCGAAAGGAGAATGATTGTCTTTATTGAATATCTAATCAGTACGTGATTTTAACTTTACCTTATTTTCTGACTCTCTCACACACAGATACATGTGTGTAAATATATAAATTACGATATATAAAGAGAATCTTTTACAGCAGTGGTTATTCTTGTTTATTGTAGTTTTGTTTTCTTTGCAAGTAGAACTGACACAGTAAACTAATATTGTCTTCACAACATACCATATAAGCTGTTTATATCAGACAGCAACAAGAAGCACAGTGGCTTATCATGGGCCAGCTACCATAGTGTTATTGGTCCGACGCATGGCCAACATCAGAATGGATCCTCATAGATTCAATGCTTGGATTCCGCAAACAACCTGCATTTTATGGAAGTTCAATGCCAGAAGAATATCAGTGATATTTTTCTATAGCCGGCCGAAAACAGAACAGAATGAAATGCATGATCTTAAATAAAGACCAGCTTCTTATGACCACTATGTATAGTCGCAATTATGTAAACATCAATTTTCCAGTGTTGACTCTAGATTGGGCATAGAAAGTAATGCAGAATTTAAGTCTATTTTTTCATAAAGATTCTGATTATTCTCCCTCTTGTAGCTGCACTTTTTAAATTTTTCGTTCCTAAATCAGCTTACAGGTCAATGATCACAAAAGTTTTTTTCATTTGCAAACGTTGGATGTTCAAGGTTAAAATATGAGAATATCACACTTAATTTTAAACCATCAAAAAAATGATTTCCTCCCTCCGAACGGTGTCTTATCTCTAAACACACAGTTGCAACAAAATATGTTTTTTTAAATGTTAATCAAATGTTTATTTGGTATAAATTAAATTGCGTGACTGAAGCGATTCTGATCCGCTGAGTATTGCTAGATCCAAAATTGATGAGTAATTGTATACTTGAGAACCATGGGCATATTTCCAACTACAAAATATCTTAAATATTTTCATTATATTTATCATGGCCAGTACTTATGAAGAGAATTCGCGGCAATGACTTACCAATGACATATTAGTATATTGAAGTAGTGTGGTTGAGATACTGAAATAAATGCTGCTTAAATATAATGATAATCATGGTTATAATAATGATACTAAAAAGGAAATTTCGCATAGCTAATGTGTGCCGAAGAGACGTAAACGGCAGTACACATGTGGAGACGAACTTGCCGGCGGAAAGTCGTTTAGGAGCGAACGCAACTCAAGTTCATGGTGGTTTCTTCACATCTCATTGAGTATAGCCACAGTATTGTGTATATAGCCAATGTCATATACAATTTTTGAAGTTACTTCAGACAGCTCACCATACAGCGAAAGTAAATAGCATACTTTAAATACCTATGAATGAAAGTTCGTATTGCTGTATGTCGGTCTCTGAGATATTACTTTCTTGATGTTTCCTTATGGTATAACGCTGGCTAGAACTGACAAATAAAACTGCATTTCAGCAACACCACAGGATGGGTATACCGAAAAGAGCAATGGAAATATAGATGGTATAAAAATAAAGAATTGCTAAGTTTAAGAACCAACCCTCAATCCTCGGCAGGACCTGCAGTCAAATCTTTATATCCGCACTCCATGGACTTCCCCGATTTCGATGATCCAAATGATAGTGTCAAGTTATACCTGGTATTTCTGCTCTTAAGTTGTATCTCCAAGAAATTTTCCTGGCCTACCAGAAACCACTAAAATGTGTTAGAATATATGAAATATCAGGTGCGTCTCACCAAAAGACAAGGAATAATTCATATATGGTAATAATTGAAGGAAGACAGAAAAAAGTTTAGCCAAAACTCCCGAAGATTGAACAATTGAGTTTCAAGATTTAGTCTGTAAGTGTTTCAGATTTTATTTTTACAATTTCTTATTTCAGATTATATTTATTTGATGATTCATTATTACATATACCAAGTGACAACAGAAATTTGTTGGAAAGTAGAAGGCAAGAATGATCGTCATAGGGCATTAGGAATCAGATGAATGATTATATATGTACAAACAAAAGAATATATATATATGCTCTCTCTCTTTATGTACATATATATATACTTATAAGCATATATATACATATATGCAAAATTATGAACCTAATACACCAACCACCTTAAGATATAACATAAAAAATCATTCAACGCGATGTAAGTAGTTTTGAATAGTGTGAATTAACTGATAAATCTTCATCGCGTCTATTTGAAATCGGAACTCCGAAACATACTTTTAATTCACCAAGAAGGTTAGTAGCTTGATCCGTATGTAATATGATAAAATGCACACACAAACATTCGCCCACACACACACATTATGGATAAATTCAATTAACAAATCTATTTTTTTTCAATTGTTAGATGTGACATCAACTAATTCGTGATTGTACCAGGCAAGGAAAGAGTCATTTGGACGCATAAAAGAGCCAAGCACACATTAAGGTGATTATATATAGCATTGATGTATCATCATATTATGGATAACATATCTTGCTGAATAGCTGGGGTTGATTACATAAATAAAGTACAGTGTGTTCCCAAATAAGAGAAAGAGAGAAAAAAAATGATTATAAGAGTAGCCACGTTACAGGGAGAGTGATGCACGAATACTGACAAATTTGCAAATTTCTTGCTCTTGCTACAATATAGGGGATTCATCTATTGAATAGATATTGCATATAGCTGAATTATGTATCTATGAAGTTGATGTATCTATTGACTGAAGGAAAAACAGTCTTTAACAGGCTTGTTTTCTGCTTACCATAGAGCCAATAAAAAACGACTCAAGGTCCGGGTTTATTGGATAGCTTTGGCTTATTGGATGTAGTTGATAAAACAGGCGGTTCTACAATAGGCTTATTTGGCATCAAGAAACATGTCAAATAGTTTGATTCCGTCTCGAATATATTATATTTCACACATATGTATGGATACATATGCAAATAAATATATATACATAACATATGCACATTTTTGATACATATACAAGCATGTATGTAAAGATGGATGAACAGTGAAATCAAGATGTGGTATGTATCGTACCATTTTAGAATACTTGGATATTAGTATTTGACAATATTATTTTCGTACAGAGCTAGCTTCAACTTCCTATTTTGAAGGATAAACTATAGAAACGACTGGTGATAGTCTTCGTTTAATAAATATTTACTGTAAATATATTAATTTTTGTTTAACTTAGGCGTATGTAGGTTCAGGCTTGTAGGCAGGGGCTGGCTTGTAAGCGGGGGCGGGCTTGTAGGCAGGAGCAGGCTTGTAGGCAGGAGCAGGCTTGTACTCGGGGTACTGGGCTTCACCCTCGTAGCTGACCTCCGCCACGTAACCAGAGTCGCCATTGACAGTATAAACGACCTTCTGCAGACGACCGTCGGGAAGGAGGACGTAATAGGATCCCTGGGTATTGTATCCGTCACGGGCCTCCTGGTGACCGAAGTCGTTTCCAGAGTAGTCGTCCTTCACGGCGTAGTTGAAGTCGTACTTAGCGGGAGCCTAAAAAAAGTCAAATTAATATGCACCGAATAGAACCAATAATATACAGTTCACGTATAGGACAAGACAGAAAGTTCTTGATATATACTAATTGAGCTTACATCATAGGTTGCCGGAGGAGCATATCCATAGGAAGGCTGTGAAGGAGCAGCCAGAGTGACGGCCACAAGGGCGAGAGCGATGACGACCTGAAACATGAATTTAACAATGAAATATTTCATTTATCAATCTATCTATACATGCACATACATATACATATGTGTACATATATATACTTACATGTGTATATATTTATGTATATAAAGATGCTGACATGTATAAATAAATGGAATAAAATCATCAACAAACTCCTGCAATTTAACAAAACGACTGTAATAAAGTTTATCTTGCCTTAGTGAACATGATGAAGAGGATGGACCAAATGTGATGCTTCGAACTAGGATCTGGTGTCTTATACTCCGTATCTCTCAGAGACACGCCCCCTAGCCCCTCCCTCTCCCCATGTTACCTACCTTAACCTTGATATGGGTGAAGGTAAAGAGTCGAGGTGTGATTGAGGGTGATTTTGACAAAATTCGGTTGATGAGGTAACACTGAGAAGTAGAAATTAGAAAGGAAATGTTTATGTCTATGACAAAGAAGTCCATAACTATAAATGAGCACACATATGTATATGCATATATATGTATATATGTGTGTGCGTTTGTGTGCAGACTTGCATATATATGTACTGTATAAGTATGTGTGTATACCTGTGCGTGTATTTGTGTTCGAAATGAACCATATACATAATGAGTGAGTAGACTAATCCTAAAAGTGTAACCATTAAAATCGGTAAAAACGATCAGATGTGTAGTGGGAAAAGTTAATACATACATGTATTTACATGCCATGTACACACGGTTACGCAAGCACACGCATAGAGATGTAAAATTAGATATGTATATATCTATATGCACCCAAATTGCATATATATACACACACACAAACACACACACACATACACACACACACACGCATATGTATGTGTGTAATATATATGTATATACATATATATACCATGCATATATGTGCACACCCATACACATATATATGTGTATGTGCACACATATATATGTATGTGCACACCCACACATATATATGTGTATGTGCACACATATATGTGTGTATGTGCACACATATATATGTGTGTATGTGCACACACATATATATATGTGTGTGTACACGCACCCACCAATATGTATATATACATTCATATATACATATGTATGAATAGGCATACACACAGGCACATATATGTATATGTATGTATACACACACACATCTTTATATATACATACATACACACATATATATGATATATATACCTATATATGTATACACATATGTATAAATACATATTTATACAACACATACACATACATAGTTACATGCATATACATACATACACAGGCATATGAACATACGATTGTGTTTATGGATCTATGTAGATGTATACAGATGGATAGATAAATGAAAAAAAAAGAAAAAGAATAGACAGGTAGCCAGAGATAGGGAAGGAGAGGGAGGGAATGGGACATAGAAAAAAACGGGAAACGGAAACAATTTGACAAGGGCCTTTATTTATTTTTTTTCTAACATAGGGACATTTCAGTAGCTTTATCTATGCAGTTAAGCTTAAAGATATGATTATGTATGGGAGCAGCCATGAACCCATGAATTTTGAAAATTCTGACTATAATGGCCGGGCCACAGAATTTGATATCCACGTCCTGTTTTACTTAATATAAATTTCGCATAACTGATGTGTGTCCAAGAGTGCCAATTGGCAAAATATACGCGGAGACAAACTTGCCGGCGGAAAGTCATATAGGACCGTACGTATTTCCTCGTGCGCACACTTCACTGAGGACAAATATAGTACTATATATATAGCTAATGTTATAAACAGCTTTTGAAGTTGCTTCAAACAACTCACAATATTTGTTAGAGCACTGGAAGATGGAATTAATATGGAAATTATTAAGTTCACATCTGTACGTACAGATGTTTCTGCTATGCTGAATTTACATTTTTTTTTCGCTTTTGCTTTTACTTAGAAGCCTCTAGGCACATATAGCAGCAATTTGTAAGTTTAAGAATTCAGAAGCCAATTTAAACAGTTTGTTTGCAAACTACACTATTTGTATTGATGAGCTTCTTGTATTTGCAGTGTCATTGGCAGTTCATAAAATCGCCCATTACACATGCCCAAATTCCTCTTACAGGGCAATGAAGGTGGCTGATTATTACTTCACAACTGTATTTGAAATCAATTGTTTAGATAATATATATATATAACTTCGCAATCTTTTGGGATAGGTAATACAAATGAATGGTAATAGAATTTTCGTTTAATCAATAAATAGTCATCAAATGTATATTCAAGTTTGTTTCATTTAAGCATAGGCAGGAGCAGGGTTGTAAGCAGGGGCGGGCTTGTAAGCAGGGGCGGGCTTGTAAGCAGGGGCGGGCTTGTAAGCAGGGGCGGGCTTGTAAGCAGGGGCGGGCTTGTGAGCAGGGGCGGGCTTGTAGGCAGGAGCAGGCTTGTACTCGGGATATTGAGCCTCACCCTCGTAGCTGACCTCAGCCACGTAGCCAGAGTCGCCGTTGACAGTGTAGGCGACCTTCTGCAGGCGGCCGTCGGGAAGGAGAACGAAGTAGGAACCCTGAGTATCGTAACCGTCGCGAGATTCCTGGTGACCGAAGTCGTTGCCGGAGTAGTCGTCCTTCACTGCATAGTTGAAGTCGTACTTGGCAGGAGCCTAAAGAAAGGTGAAAATAATATGTATCATATATGAACATTAAAAACGATTTATATCTTGATGAAATATATGTATAAAATTATCGGTAGAGGATTTTTTTTCTTACATCGTAGGTTGCGGGAGGAGCATATCCGTAGGAAGGTTGTGAAGGAGCAGCCAAAGTTACGGCCACAAGGGCGAGAGCGATGACGGTCTGAAATTAGGTACACACTCTAAAGTTCTGAAAAGAATTACTAATGCACCCGCACACATGCATACATGTGTGTGTATGTGTCAGCTATTATATTAGACTTTGGGTGGTAAACATTATGCAGTATGAAAATGATAAGGGATCCTCACCTTAGTGGACATGATGGTGAAGGAAGATCGAGTGTGATACAATGAGATCGATCTTCTTCTTAGCGTCACCCCTATTCGGGGTCGCCGCAGCGCGTCTTTAATTCGCGCATTGTTGATTTTGGCAAGAAGTTTTACGCCGGATGCCCTTCCTGTCGCAACCCCATTTTAGTCGCCTTTTACGATCACGCAGGGGATTTAACAAAAACGACTTTCTGCAGTGGTGATCGATCTGTTGGCTTTTATACTCCCTGACTGAAAAGGACACGCCCTCCGCCCCTCCCTTTCCCTTCTCTAACCAACCTTTACCTTTGTAGGGGAAGACGCAAGTAGTTTCCGTTGTTCGAAAGGAGAATGATTGTCTTTATTGAATATATCTAATCAGTACGTGATTTTAACTTTACCTTATTTTCTGACTCTCTCTCACACACACAGATACATGTGTGTAAATATATAAATTACGATATATAAAGAGAATCTTTTACAGCAGTGGTTATTTTTGTTTATTGTCGTTTTGACACAGCAAACAAATATTGTCTTCACAACATACCATATAAGGTGTTTATATCAGACAGCAACAAGAAGCACAGTGGTTTATCATGGGCCAGTTACCATAGTGTTATTGGTCCGACGCATGGCCAACTTCATATTGAGCCAGAAATGGACCCTCATAGAATCATGCATTCTATGGAAGTTCAATACCAGAAGAATATCAGTGATATTTTTCTATAGCCGGCCGAAAGCAGAACAGAATGAAATGCATGATCTTAAATAAAGACCAGCTTCTTATGACCACTATGTATAGTCGCAATTATGTAAACATCAAATTTCCAGTGTTGACTCTAGACTGGGCATTGAAAGCAGTGCTAAATTTAAGTCTATCTTTTCATAAAGATTATGATTATTCTCCCTCTTGTAGCTGCACTTTTTAAATTTTTCGTTCCTAAATCAGCTTACAGGTCAATGATCACAAAGGTTTTTTTCATTTGTAAACGTTGTATGTTCAAGGTTAAAATATGAGAATATCACACTAAATTTTAAACCATCAAAAAATGATTTCCTCCCTCCGTACGGTGTCTTATCTCTAAACACACAGTTACAACAAAATATTATGGCTTTTTAAATGTTAATCAAATGTTTATTTGGTATAAATTAAATTGCGTGATTGAAGCGATTCTGATCCGCTGAGTATTGCTAGATCCAAAATTGATGAGTAATTGTATATGTATGAAGAGAATTCGCGGCAATGACTTACCAATGACATATCAGTATATTGGAGTAGGGTGGTTGAGATACTGAAATAAATGCTGCTTAAAGATAATGATAATCATGGTTATAATAATGATACTAAAAAGGAAATTTCGCATAGCTAATGTGTGCCGAAGAGACGTAAACGGCAATACACATGCGGAGACGAACTTGCCGGCGGAAAGTCGTTTAGGAGCGTACGCAACTCAAGTTCATGGTGGTTCCTTCACATCTCATTGAGTATAGCCACAGTATTGTGTATATAGCCAATGTCATATACAATTTTTGAAGTTACTTCAGACAGCTCACCATACAGCGAAAGTAAATAGCATAATTTAAATACCTATAAATGACCATATTTGTTAGAGCGTTGGAAGATGTAATCATTATGGGAATCATTATGTTCATACCTGTATGTACAGATATTTCGGCAATGATGAGTTTTACATCTTTTCCGCTTTTGATTTCGGTTAGAATCAAGATTTTAGGAGACATTTTAATCTATGTTTGAATACTATTTCACTATTTCTAAATGATGAGCTTCATCCCCCATTACTCATGCCCAATTACACTCATACTGATTATAACTTCACAATTATAATTATTTGAAATGACTTGTTTAGATTATATATATGTAAATGTATAACCTCACTATCTATCAGGATAGGTAATACAAATGAAATGTTATAGAGTTTTTGTTTAATAAATATTCACCAAATTTATATTCAACTTTGTTTCATTTAAGCATAAGCGGGGACAGGGTTGTAAGCAGGAGTGGGCTTGTAAGCAGGGGCGGGCTTGTAAGCAAGGGTGGGCTTGTAAGTAGGGGCGGGCTTGTAAGCAGGTGTGGGCTTGTAAGCAGGTGCGGGCTTGTAAGCAGGGGCGGGCTTGTAGTCAGGGGCGGGCTTGTAGGCGGTGGCGGGCTTGTAGGCAGGAGCAGGCTTGTACTCGGGATACTGAGCCTCACCCTCGTAGCTGACCTCAGCCACGTAACCAGAGTCACCGTTGACAGTGTAGGCGACCTTCTGCAGGCGGCCGTCGGGAAGAAGAACGAAGTAGGAACCCTGAGTATCGTAACCGTCGCGAGATTCCTGGTGACCGAAGTCGTTGCCGGAGTAGTCGTCCTTCACTGCATAGTTGAAGTCATACTTGGCAGGAGCCTAGAGCAAGTTGAAAATAATATGTATCATATATGAACATTAACAACGATTTGTATCTTGAAATCTATGTATAAGATTATCAGTATAGGAAAGTTTTTCTTACGTCGTAGGTTGCGGGAGGAGCATATCCGTAGGAAGGCTGTGAAGGAGCAGCCAAAGTTACGGCCACAAGGGCGAAAGCGATGAGGGTCTGAAATTAGACACAAATTTTAAAATTTTGAAAAGGATTACTAGTGTAATGTAATACATGCACCCGCACACATACATGCATGTGTATGTGTGTAAACAATTATATTAGTCTTTGGGCAGGAAACATTATGCAGTATGAAAAGTATGAGATTCTCACCTTGGTGAACATGATGGTGGAGGTAGATCGAGTGTGATACTCAGAACATCGAGCTGTTGGCTTTTATACTCGTGAAAGAAAAAGGCACGCCCTCCGCCCCTCCCTTTCCCTCTAACTAACCTTTACCTTGGTAGGGGAAGACGTAAGCAGTTTCCGTTATTTGTAATGAGAATGATAGTCTTCATGGAATCTATCTAATCTGTTTGTGATTATAATTTTCAGCTTATTTTCTGATTCTTTCTCTCACACGCACAGATACATGTTTGTATGTAAATAAAAAGATGATATATAAAGAGAATCTGTCTTTGTAGTTAGAATTAACAGAACAAACTAATATTATCTCCACAATATACCATATAAGGTGTTTATATCAGACCGCGTCAAGGCACATTAGCGGTGCAGTGGTCTTTCATGGGCCAGTTACTATTCTGTTGTTGGTCCGACGCCTGACCAAAATCCTATTGGGCCAATCATGGACCATCATAGATTGGATGCATGGATTCCGCAAACAACCTGAAATTTTAGGAGGTTTAATACCAAAAGAGTATCAGTATTTTTTTCCCCTATAGCCGGCCGAACACAGAATAAAATAGAATGCACGATCTTAAACGAAGACCAGCTTTTTGTGACCACTATTATTCTGATGCAACAATATTTATGTATAGTCGTAATTATATAAACTTTAATATTCCAGTGTTGACTCCATATTGAGCATTGGAAACAATGCGTAATTTAAAAGTATATCTTTTCACAAAGATTATTATGTGTGTGTAAATATAGAGATGAAGATATATACAGATTATCTGTGAGAGTGATAGACACTGTGTCTTTTATAAGCAGTGATTATTCTTTTTTATTGTAGTTTCGTTTTCTTTGCAGTTAGAATTGACTCAACAAACCAATATTGTCTCTACAACAGCTGAACAGCTGAACAATTACAAGAAAAGAGGAACCGAAGTTCGAAAGGAGAAGAGGAGATGGGAGAACTAGTTGCTGGCTACCTAGCGAAAATGAAATATTAGTATGAGAAATTAAAGGTAGGGGACATAACCCTTTGCTGGTCATAATTATGGGCGATGTCGTATGTATCTACCGTATTTATCTGAGTATTAAAATAGTGAGTGCTTGACCTATGGATTTTATTTATTTATTTTTATTATTTAAATAGCCTTCGAGTATATTGGAGGAGGAGGCTCTCTCCCTCGTAGTAAACATCTATGTTCAGTTCGGTCTCTTCGTGAGTCTTCTAGATTCCAGCATATTTTGCGATCCTAAGCATTAGTGGCCAGTCTGTGTATTCTTGTGTTCAGTGGTTTCAAGTTAAATTGATGATGAAGTAGTCTTATAGAGGGGCAAGGGTTGGGCCATCTAACCCTTTGATCCATAGTAAAGCTATGTTTTGTACGGCCTGCAGTGGTAGTATTGACCGGTAGGTATTCGATTACTGGCCTGACCAAGGCTTTGTATAAATGGAGTTTGGTCTCTTCTGAACACCCCGAGAATCTCATCTTTGTGAGGACGGTTTTAGCTTTTGTCCTTCGTTCTTTGATATGGGAGGCAATACCATTTTTTTGTAATTTTCAACCGTAGAATTCTTCCTTCATTGCTGTAGTTTACAGCTACATTTTCCAAATTAAGGACCCCTGGCAATTGGTCTTACTAGAAATTTATCAATATTGGTTTTGAGTTTCCAGGCCTTCTCTGGTTATTAATACCAATTGCTCTATCGGTTGTCAAGCTATAAAGTTATCTCTAGGTCAGGGGTGACAAATAATTTGTGTGGTGTCATCTGCATACATACTGTTGCTACATACTTAAAGTGCCAATATGGATGTGGTATAGACGATGTACAAAATTGACGAGAGAGCTCCACTGTGGAACCCCACTCTTGAGTATGAATTCATTGCCAACTATTGTGTTCAGTTTTAATCTTCCGTTTCTGTCATCGAAATGCTCACATATCTTGTTATAAGTGCGGGAAGATTGAGTTTTATGAGCTGATATTTTTGACTTTGTCAAATGCAACATCTCTGAGGATGATGTTGACTTGTTTGCTAAAGCCAGGTCAACTTCCCCCTAGGCTAACGCTATTGATGCGCCTGTGCCACAGGAAGCACGGAAGCCATATTTTCGAGGATTGAGTAGATTATTTTCCTTGAGGTAGTTGCGTAGACTTTTATTGATTATTTTCTCCAAGAGCATGGCAGATATTTCAAGGAGAGATAGGCATGAAATTCTCCGGTGTTTGGTGCTTTACCAACTTTTGGTATTAAGGTATATTATTGCAGTCTAGAATTTTACTGGGAAATGGCCTGATGCTAGCGAGGGATTGGTGGAAGATTCATGATTTCTGTTTTATTTACCTATTTATTTATTTATCTATTTGCTTAGGCTCGGTGCTTTGTTTTAATCCTTTAATGGTGTTTGTTATCTCAACTGTGGTGATGGGACTAATTAGCTTCTGTTCTATTAACAGATTATTGAGATTTACTACTGGGACGGTGGTCAAAACATCTCGGTGATTTTCGGTGTCTCGCAAAACCATTTCTTCGGTCGAAGCTCACGTTTTCTTCATTCGAAAAGATATTTTGCCAGTATCTTCGGTGAATGGCCTCCTTATCTATATTTTAGGATTGTTTGTTGCCAAGGTGATCATACCTATATGAACTGTTTGGGTGTCATTTCCCATGATGTTCTTCAGTTGCCTCCAGAATTCTTGAGGGTGTCTTACATTTGATGAAAGTTTCTGGACGAGTTCTACCCATTTGTTGTTTGTCATTGTCTTGCATTCTTCTATCAGAATGCAAGACATTCTCATATCGTCGTCTGAGTTTCTGCTCCCATCCCCTTGTATGGGCCGGTCATTTAGTCTCCTGGTACTGGGTTTGTAGGAGCTGAAAGTTTAGAGAGGTGATGGGATGTGGTAGTGTGCGGTAGCCTTTGTAGGGAATACTTTCTTTTCTGGCTTCTATTATGGCATTAAATGCAACATCCCCTGGTCTATATCTACAGAGGCTCTCTCGTTTAGTTCCCTGACTTCTCTGTTGTTGAGTATATTTTTGAATTTTTCCCAGTCCTCATTCTTGTAGCAAGGTGTTGGGGCTGCAAGTATGATAATAGGATTTGTAGAGATATCCAAAAAGATTGTTAAGTGATCATTTGTGGTGATGTCTCCTGGTGATAGTCTAGTGTTTAGGTGGGCATATCTGTTTGCAAGAACCAGGTCAAGGCAGGTGGCGGCTTTTTGTCTTATCAGAGTGGGAAAGTCAGGGCCCAGGTGTGATAATCGTCTATCTGCCATGGGTTAAACGAGGCTATTTCCGACGACGTTATTATTTCCTATGTAGACAAGCCTTCTGTGTTGTGCGTTCGTCTGCCATGATGTAGACTGGTTTTTGTAATATCAGGAGCCGTATGAAGACTGGGTAAGGTAGGTAGGGTCGGCGAGGTGGGAGATATCCGGTGGCAATGACTACTGGGCCTCTTGTGGTTTCAATTTCAATACCCAGGAATTCTTCAAAATCATCCAGAATTTTGTGTTGTAGTCCCTTCTTTATGGCTAGAGCAACGTTGTGCTTTATTATTCGAAGGGAGTTTATTTTGATGTTTTATTTGTGGAAGTTGGTACTTTGCAGTATTCATTCTGATCTCCTTCAGTTTGTGTCTCTGCTGGATCATCTCTGCTGTTATTTCGATGGAGCCTGTTTCGAGGAGTGTCTTGGTTTTGTTTTCCATATGCATGTATTTTTTGTTGGTGAATTAGAATTCTATCTGCCCGGTTTTTATTTCTTTCCCCGACATGTGTTTTCCAAATGTTGTGTATCTTTTGGAATCTTGAGTGAATAGCGGAAGGCCATTGTCTGTTGGGTTAGCTGGGATTCTGCCATACAGTATCTTAGTGAGTTTTGTGTACGCTTCGTTTAAGATGCCGTGTGGTCTGTCTGTTTATATCTCGATTATCTCAACCTTGGACTGTTGACGTGTGCCTGAGTTGTTTACAGATCCCCAACAGTCGTATGACTAGGAATTGCAAGTAGGATGAAAGCGTAGATGTCAAAGTTGTCTTTTTACTCTGGTTTGAACATGTTATAATGAACAGCAAACACTAGTAAACACTTGACAATTAAAGTGTTCCCAAGATCCATTAATTTATTTCCGCCAACATGTCGGAATTAGAATACTGAGTGTTTATCTTTCCAATTTTATTGACACTAAAAATTGAAATGCAGTAACACTGGAAGATTAGTATTTGAAAAAACAACAACATAAATATCGCTTGCATTTACTTTTTCCATGACACATATTAGAATAAAATGACCTTGCCAAAGATAACAGAAATGTAAATTGCCATTTTCCTGGCAGCAGTGGTGTAAACTATCATGACCCTGCCAAAGTCAATACTTATATAAACTACTGCAACCCTGTCGAATACATTATACATATGTATATATACACATATATATACACACCCTGCCATAGTCAACAGTGGTGCACATTGTATAGCCCTGCCAAGATGAATAATGATGCTAATTCCGGCAACCTTATCAAGGGCAAGTGATGTAAATTATCATTTCGACATTGCTTTAAACCGCAGTCGTAAATGCCTTATACCAACAAACATTGGTAAAGGTAACCATCTCTAACCATGACGATGACCGGTGCAATAAATACAATAACAGGGTTATCAATTTCCTTTAGTCCGATGTCACGGTAACATTCGCGGCTGTGGACCAGGAGGGTCTCGAGTTTAAATCCCACTCACGCTTCGGTGTAGTAAGGTCATCCACTCAGGAACGGTCGCCAACTGTCAAATACTCTTGAAAGCAGACACTTTCTTAGCCCTTGCTATTTTTATTCATTAATTTGTTTATCTATTCATTTATTTTATCCACTTTATCAACTTGCAGCATACCTGCAACCAAGAACTTGCGAGGACCCTTGGTCTGGTGTGAAATATAATATAACATATACTACTAACAGTGAGAATACCTGGAATTTCTCTTATTATATATGTA